TATTTGACGGAAAAGAAAAATAAATCCCTTATTCGTGAAACGGCGCTGTTTATTTATCATTTCAACGTATAAATCACAAATGGAGAAGGTGTTAAAAGAAGTGTTCGCGTATATTAATAGACAATGTGAACGATAAATACTAATTAATCTATTTTTATAACATAAAGAGAAAACTAAGCAAAGCGTTCCCAAATCGGACGATTGAAAGGACAACGATCGAATAGCAAATTAAGGGGGGAAAAAAAGAAAGGACATTACAAGAAAATTAAGTCGAACGAACAGATCTTTGAAGATGAGCGATGATCGATGAAAAAAAAATGAATCTGTAAACACAAGAAAAAAGCAGAAAAACATAAAATGCATTTTTAACGTCTTCGTTTAGAGGGATTTCGCGGTAAAAAGAATTCGTCGCAACGAGGATCAAAAATACGCCCAATTTTGGAAGCTTTTGGAGCAGAAAAGAAAAAAGAACAGCTAAAGCGGTAAAGTATCCTTGAAACGGACAGGATAACGAGACAGAAACGGCTATAGAAATGTTTCGTGTATAGGAATAAACGAGAAAATTTGAAACGAGTGATATTTTAGCTTTTTTTTTTTAGTAGCCAGAAAGCTCAGAGAATGTCTTGTCCAATTCTTCGCAAATCGTTTTGCGTTTCTCCTTCTGCTGGTGCAATACGTCTGTAAAGAAAATCAGTTGTGTTGCACGATGAAGTGTCGGTCATTAACGCGGATATCTATTAACGAACAACTACCTTTGCAATCTCTGCAACTATAAAGCAATTTGTGCTAGTAAAAGTGGATATTTCTTTTTTGAATATCAAAAAGTCTTGGAAATATTCAGCCCAACGACCCAGATAGACTGAATCATCGGGGTAACGCGATATTCGTAAAAATGAATCATCTCACGACGCGTGCAGCATCTACCAAAATGCGTTTGACGTTGTTCGAGGTTGGCAAATTGACTACGAGTCTTTGGTTCCATCCCATTGGAACGGTAGAACGGAAGCTTCGTTGTCACTTTGCCAAGTTACGTCAGACATACGTTCGCATACGGTAGAAAGTACTCCGAGGGCAATCTGCAGCAACAAAGTGGCAAATATTTGACGGAAAAGAAAAATAAATCCCTTATTCGTGAAACGGCGCTGTTTATTTATCATTTCAACGTATAAATCACAAATGGAGAAGGTGTTAAAAGAAGGGGAAAATATCGCAAGCTTACCTTCGAGCCTGTCAACCTCCTTCTGGAGCTTCTTAACAGTTTTCTCAGCGAACTCAGCGCGGGCCTCGGCCTCCTTTAGTTTCACCGTTAGGGTTTTAAGCTGGCGTTTAAATTCCTCGACTCTTTGATTAGCCTAATCACATACAGTCAGCTAAATTATATTATTCGAATTCATTTGCAAACATCGAAGATGACGACAAACTCACCTTCTCTTCGGATACCTCCAACGATTTCAAGCTGTTACCCACGACTTTAAGTTCCTCTTCCAGCTCCATGATCTTGCTGTATCAATCGCGAGGAATGGCATTAGACAGAACACGTTAGGCAGAGAGGATTATCGACGAATTACGCTGGATAAGGAGGAAGTACTCACGCTTCACCGGATTTGACTCGATCCTCGGCGACTTCCAGCTCATCTTCAACGAAGGCCAGCTTTCGCGATACTTCGTCCGATTTTCCATCAGCGTCCTCAGCAAGAAGACGCGCCTCCTTCAGTTGGTTCGTCAGTTGATCCATCCTCTCTTCATCCTGCTGTGCACGGTTTTCCAATACTTTGCACATACTGCAATTACGTTCGTTAGCATAATTCCATAACTCGTGACATTCTACGATTGTTCTCTTTGACATTTACCGGCTGGATTCGTCAGCAGCTTGAGAAGCTTCGGCCAGCTTGGCGGTGGCGGTGTTTAAACGTTCTTCGGATCTTTCCAAATCCTCCTCGATCAGTTGCACTTTCCGGTTCAGAGCGGCAACCTCGGATTCAGCCTGAAATTAGAAAGCTCCCGTGACTCATTGACCCTTGTTGCTCTCTCTCAAGAGAGAAGGAGCAGGGAGAATAGGGCGAAGCAGATGATCCTCCTAGTTACGGAGCGCCATTGCCAGTATAAAATCACATCGTAATGAGTCATGGATCTTAAAACGAAGGAATCACGATATAAATACGAAATAAAATTGCCCGGGGAAAAATTGACTTAGACTTTGGACCCAGTCCAAGATAAACTGGAGCAATGACAGTTAGAGTGAAATTTTGATAGCTAACAGGGTAACGGAAACGGTGCGAAGGTTACTCACGTTGGTCAAAGCTTTTTCCTTTTCTTCGAGATCCTTGTTGGCCTGTTCCAGAGCTTGTTTATTGGCCTCGAGATCGCCCTCTACCTGGGCAAGCTTCTTCTGCAATTCGCTCACCTCTTCGTTCACCTTATCCGCTCGCATATTCGCCTCCTTCGCCTGTCCTTCGCAGGCATCGGCTTTATCCATCGCGTTGTCCTTCTCAAGCTTCATCGCTTGCATCTTCTTCTTGATCGCGTCCATGGTGGCGGCCTTTTTCTTTTGCCGGCTTCCTTCAAGAAACTATCGAGTTTGCTGAAATTGTCCATTTCCCTTTCGTTTAGCGATCGATCGATCAATATCATTTAGAGCCGTCTGATTAGGCGTTAGACATTCGGGTACATGGCAATCGTTGTGTGACAATTCGATGGACCAGCATAAATTTCCTCTGTCCAGCGTTAGTGGAATCGTACGTTAACAGCGTCTATTTCAGGGGGCAAACTATTTTTTCTTATTTCCGACAAACGAAACGATATTACGAATTTAGGGTAAAGGTGGGCCATCTCGAGCGGTCTGTTCTTCCTCAACGTCGCGATAATTGTCCGTCGTATAAGTATCCTTTACGCCTACTCGAAAGCTGCACGGTTCATCACGCGCGAGTCGTCATCGTTTTAACCCTGAAAATAGACGATCCCGTATCCGAATAAAGTACACGGTAGGTTAGACGGAGAGGCTTGCATATTTTCACGATCCCAGTGAGTCGTGCGAGTGATAATCCGGTGGATGATACCGTCCGGCTTCGCGATGACGAGGAACGGGGCACATCGGCGCGTCTACGAAAATAGCATCCATAGGGCAGGCTCTATAAATATGCGCGGAACGGCGAAGAGAGGATGGCGGCCGGCGTTAGTGAGGCCGCGAGGCGAGGAGGCCAAAAAGCACGAGCGTAACCCAGAAGAACGGGCTTTACTTGGCCGCCACCGACGACCGACATTCGATCTAACTGCCGCGTATTAATAGCATTTACGAAATCATCGTCGCCACCTCGCGATCTCGCGATCTCGCCATTCGATTCCATATATTCGGTTTTTAGGATGTCTCGAGCGAGCCGTGGTACTCTTCGTTTAACTTCCCTCCACTTTTTCTCCGATCGCAACGATAAAGGAGAGTTCTGTTCGTAGATAGGTACAAACGCACCGTCCATCGCGATCGCGTTCGTATTTCTCGCGTAAAATATAGATCGTAAAGAACCGATTTATTAACACCGTGGATATACTTGAATGAAGCCGAGATTACGGAATCCGCGGGATTATACCGAATTAAATCGATCGTGCGGTAGCTGAATGGCAATGTTCGACCTCTTTTCCGGATATTAATAGCAGCACCTGGAAGGTTTTGGCATCTGGTTACCCATTAATGCCAAAATGACATCACGAAACAGATCCTCGATGGGTTAATAATAATAGCGGATTCCTTGGATTATTTAATCGCAAACAGGCATAGTTAGATATTCGTTAGGGGGACTTTGATGGCGCTCGAAGGGTTAATCGCGTAGATAGATCGTTATGCGAATGCTACTTACGACATTGCGTTATGTTAAGTCCAAAAGCAAATTCTTGAAGCGTTAGCTGTGCTGTTGTTAATTGGCAGCGGTTAATATGTCGCAAAAGCGTTCTGGTTCCTCCTATTTCATACGTTCATCTTCCTGCAAGCATTTCGATCATTGCTAAGCTTTAATCGCGTGAACCGCGTGACGTTTAACATCGATACGGAATTATCGTGTTATCAGTAACGCCGATCGATCGATGCGAAACAGTACATCGAGCTTAACATTTGAGAATACGCTGGTCGGCGGATTCGCTACGCGAACGTTAGCGGTTGAAAATAGAACATGTAAACGAACCGATTCGATGATGGCAACCGGTTTATTTTTGCCGCGAAGTGGACCACGATATTTCATCTTTTCCCGTTGTCACTTGAAATGTCTTCGTTGCGCGATATATCATGATCGAGGAAAAATCTCGTGAAATAAAAACGCATGTTTTCTATTTCCAAGGACTACGCTCGTTAACGTTAAGCGATGTTACAGGATTAACGCTACTTACAAGCATCGTCAAAGCAGAGAGGATCGTTTAAAACCTTCGAGTCGAAGGCTTCTCTGCCATGATTTTCCAATCGGTAGCACTGTCTCGTGGCAAAGCAAAGATTTTCGAAGCTGAAGCTTGTTAGTCGACGAAGCAACTCCATTAGTAGCGTCATTCATCTTCGTGGGAACAAAAATGAGCGATTAGTCGAACTAGACTTCCTTCGCGAGGTTCCATCGTCGAAGTTGAGAAATCTTGGAATCTTGCATCGTAGTCTTGTCTTCATGATAAATACTTCACGATTGGAAATCTCACTCACACGATCATCCACATCCTTCCTCTCTTTCTTTCTTTCTTTCACACTCGCGTCGCGATCGCGGAATTTATCGAACAAGCTGATCGAGCTGCGGAAACGAAGCGAAGACAACAGCCAGAGTAATAGAAGAAAAGCGATGGTCGGGAAAGAATCTTCGTGTTAATTCACTTACCTAACCCGAGCGAGTAGAGTGGCGCGAGTCGAGTGTCCCGAGGGTGCTTCGAAAAGCTTCTTCTTCGTCGAAGACGCGGTAATCGAGGCGAAGCCGAAGGTGGGGAGCCCAAAAATGGACCGCCACAGAAAGTTCTACGGGGGTGGGGCCCTGCACGTTTATTTTCTGCTCGCGCCTCCTCGAAAATTTCTCTCACCTTCCAATTCGAATATGTTAGCTGGATCCAGCGATCTTCGAGTTTACAGATCGATTTCAAATTACGAAAGGAACGGAAATCGAAATGAGCTATGACATATCGTTTTAAACACTCTTCCAACCTTCCACATATGTCTTATTATCTACTATCTCGATATATCTTATCTACTTGTGTTTACCTTATTCTTATAGAAATTACGATTAAGCTTATTATAATCGCGTTATTATTAAGGCATATGTACTGTACGGCGTTGGGACGAAAATTGGGATGAAAGCGCTCGATAAAGGTCCCCGGTGATCCGACCGTGGCCCATCACGTCGTTCGTTGCTATTTTCGAGTGTTTTGTAGCGCGTTATACATCGAATAGGAGCTTTTAACTAGCTACAATCAGACGGTTAGAAACAATAAACGTCTTGCTCGGTAGCTATAGCGTAACCAACCTTGAAAAAAACCCGTAAATATAATGTTACCAATGATGGCGAAGGAGCCGATGTTCATCCTGTTTACCCCTTTCGAGTTTTCCAAATCTTCCTTGTCGCTTTGTTCTCGCATCGAATAAAATAAATTAATCGAATTTCTTTTCGATAAATAAAATTATGCAAATACGTTCTGGTCGGATAGAAATGTCGCTGTTGAGAATTCGGTGCTTAAAATATCTGCTTTAATAACCCAACCAGGCTCAGTCACGGCGCGAGCGAGTTTCCGAAAAATTGAGAGATCGTTAGACGGAGAACGTAAATGTTGCCGCGAAAATTTTTATATCGTAACTTTGTTATATTGTAATTTAACTCGCACCGTCCATTACGATGTTCACGGAATTCCTCATTTACGAAAGGTTTACTACGTTTATTCCAACTTTGTTTCCCTTATTTCATAAAATAGAAAGTATGCTAACTCTTTGTCACGATTCTTGCAATTTTATTGCTCAATTGTATTCGTGATGGATACATAAATGAAAGTGTCGTATGATAATGCTGGATATTATAAAGGATACATAAATACTTATAAAATAACTTCAAAGAGGTACGATATACAATCCGTTCGTGTGGTCAGTAATAATTGAATAGATAACAACGAAGTCTCTTACTTGTTCGTGGTGTTTGACAGGAGGTTATACGAAGAGTACGTCATTTTCATGATCTAGAGTGCACGCTCGTTAGAATTGCGATAATCTTTGGTATTAATACTCGGAGATGTTTGAATTCTACTCACTGTCATGAAAGAATTCGCAGATAAAATAACCAGGTGACCACTGGTCATTCTGGCAGGTCTCCTACATCTGACTATGATCAATAATAAGTCCTTTACTACGTGAGCAGGAAGTGCTGTCCAGTCCATTTCGTAAATAGCATCGCTTACTTTGTTGCTCTGCAAACAGTTACGAAAAGGTATTAGAGAAAATCGTTATTTCTTGCTGTGCCTGTGGGCTTACAGAAATATAGGTACTGACGATACGAACGAAAATATGATTTCCACCACTGCGCGAATTTCTATTAGTGCTAATGTACTCGAACATGTAACGATCGGATAGAAACGAAAGACAGTGCCAACCTTCAACGTCAACTCGTTTCCAAACCAGCAGTATAAATACACTTGCATAAGTATACAGCATAAATAGGAACCGCTCCAGACGAAGTTCATACTAAACGGATTTATCGTAGAAATTTTGTAGATGCTCAGACACATTACCAGCGAGCTTATGGAAAACTGTAGGAAAATCATGTATTGGAACACGGTGTTTACTGTTTCAACGAATCTGGAATCAAATCGTAACGCAGCGAAATGCAATATTGAAAAATCACACGATTCAATGGAAAATGCTGAATGTTTAATTACTCGTAAACTTCGAGGTGATGTCGAACCAAGTTCCTAATAATTTTTCGATATCTTGTCTTCAAATTCTGCCTAGACACGCTGTTGTTTCCCGTTGCCACCAACAAAGAGGAGAAATTTTGAGCACGATGACAAAATATCTCGAATTGCGCGCCAACTTGTATCATCAGGCCCGAGATTAGGGTTTCGTGGCCTACGCTGGTGTTTGCACAGATCAATAGACAAATCGTTTGATACAACAAGGATATCGTGTACAGTTCATCCGAAGACAAGTCATATGGCACCCAATCAGACAGGGGTAACGTCCTCGTACTTATGAGCTTTTTGTATTGTAGCACTGTCGCAAAGATCACTGCTGATTTGTTTAGGACATCGCAGTATATCGTTAGTTTTCTGTAACAAACACGCGAGTAATGATCTACGTAGAGATACGAGCACGTTTCATGAAACGATCTTCTTATCCGTTTGAGTCGCAGAGGGTTTTGGAAAAACACTGTCGAAGAATCCCGAACTTTCTCCAACGATAAGTGAGTACGAAATGACCCAAGCAGCGCGATAGCGCTTCTTTTATTTTACGTTATGTGTACCCCAAACGGCGCGATAGCGCTTCGTTTATTTTTCGTCGACGTATACCAATCGGCGCGATAGCGCTTCTTGTACTTAATGCAGCACCAAAAATGCAATAAAAAGATCACATTTAACCCTTTGCACTCGAAAGGTGACCTCTCAGTCACCATTTAATCAAATTCTACAGATCGACGTTAATTAATATATCAAATATAAAATTACCTAGCGATGTGTGGAATGTCGAAGAAAAATAATTCTACGTCTTAATTTGCATATGATTTCTCATTTACCATTTTAAAAATTTCGTCGACTCTATGACAGAGTCTTCGAATCACTATTTTTCTGTAACGAAAAAGTCGTCGAGTGCAAAGGGTTAATTTGTGTGCAATGTAAAAAAGGAATTCATCCAATATTTGTTGATAAACACCATGTTACAAATTATAGGTATTACTCTCCATTTAAATTGTTTGTTCACAACATAAAAATATTTTTAATTTATAATTCCTTATTTTATGAAATGCATCTGTATTACTACATATGCGTACTGTAAGTTTCTAAATATCTCAAGTTTTGTTCGATAAAAATTATCGACAAGATAACAATGAAATACAAAATGTTTTATCTTGTAACGTATTATTGCACTATTATTATAGTATTGTACCTATTGTAAAATATATTATTTACAATATTATTGAAATTATTATAGCTCCTTGTTGAGAAAGAGCTGCGTGATATACTTGAGTCAGTAAATCCGAGCGCGCGACTTCGACAGTCGGGACGCACCGTCAGTTGTCCACAATGCTCGGAACGTGCTGGGTTTCCTCGACGTAAAATCTAAACAACACGACCGCGCTGCTTAAGACTCAAACGGTTATGTGAATCGAGACCTAACGTAGTTGTCGTTTCTCCGTTGGATAATATTTTCCTGCTTGTCCCTCGGAATGAAATTCTCCTTTAACAAGATATTCATCACGTTTATAATTTTTCCTCGTTGCAGGAACAGATTGGCCACTTTGAGACAGACAGCAAACACCGAGATGCCAAGGGAAAATTTGTCAGTCATGGTTTTCAAATTCTTGCTGATTAAAGAATCTATACAGATACAGATCGAGAAAGAATGCAGTAGTAAAATCATGAACACCGAGTAAACATTGTACAGGTGATATTTAAGCGATGAAGACGGCCATTTTGTTGGTCTCCAGTAGCCGCAGTAGGTGAGCAGAGCAAAAGACAGGGGAAGTTTGTGCATGTCCCTTTATCTTACCACTCTCTAATCCAAACGTTCTCAAAAATCTTACATAAATTTTCCTCCAAAGAATTCGGGCGAAGAAACAAGAGAATCTTGTAAAAATATCGTCAAGATCGTTATAGGTTTTCCTTCTTTCTTCATTTAATTCTTTCAATTAAAAAAGCTAATGGTAAAAATGTGATTGTGCGAATACGAAGTACAATTACGCCTAATAAAGTTTTATCAAAGTTCCTTGATCTCGAAGTAGCGTTCTTCGACTGTGCACTGTTCTCCTTCGGCTTGACCAGCTCTTTTCGTTCCTATCGACTTTTTCTTCCAACCATCAGATCGGAATTATTATTATTACACCCATACGCGCACTCTGTACACGTACGGTTATTATTCGGATATAGAAAAGATAATTATTTCCGGGATTAAAAGTTGCGCTTAGATAGAATCCACGTGAACGAAAGCAAATTATCCCCAAAGTCGATTGAATAGTGCTTCTTCCAGCTTTCATAAAGAGACACCGTTTCATCTTACGTCGGTAGAAAGCAAAATATAAAGTCGGTACACGAAGAAAGGGTTGAATTTGTACTGGAAATAAATAATGAACCACCGACTATTCTCCGTTTCCCCTCTACGAAAATGAATAAAGAATAAACCGTAGGGCATGAGTCGCCTCGAGTTTGCTTTTACCAGTCGTTGAAGGTAGACGCTTGCGATGCAATTTTGCGTGTAGTGCGTGTTTGTTCAACGATCATGTCAATTTCAGAAACTCTCGATTTGCGAGCGAGGAAAAAGAATTAACGAAAGGTAAAGTCCTTCGCGTTCTACGAATAGCATCGTAGAGTAGAAAATGAAAATTTTCGAGTAGAGTTCTTTCGTTCAGTTTCAACCATGAAGATAAAAGCTAGCAGGAAGGCAATTATAATGGGTATGTGTCTGAATTTACGCGGTTCGACTATGTAGTAGTAAGTAGAAAGCAGTGTGGGGAATTTATTTAGAGCAACGATATCGGCGAATACTGGAATACTACTTATTTAATCTAATTTCACGTATATTTAAAGTTTGGTACTTGGTTCGAATAGCAATCTTCGCTCCGCGAACAATTCGATAGAAAAATTCCAGTATCAGGCTCGCAATATGCTCAGCTGACGATCAGTGATTAGAAGTTGCGCTAAAATCGTTTAAAAATCTTTGTGTAAGGATTATAAAAATTATTTGCGATACCGTCGATATTAAGTTTTTAAACCTCACTCGAATATTCTAAATTTATTACATCTGAACGCTACATAATTTACCGCTAGATTTCAATTACTCTTTCCTTCTTCCCTTATTCTCATGCTTCCATCAAGTGATAAGAAATCCAAGAAGAACGTGGTTCTTCAATCGTTCATTTACTATGGTTATTTTGTTTGTTGCAGCATGTTGTACGCCGAGTAAATTGCTTTTATCAACTGTAACAGACGATAATTTACAAAATATAATTTGTAATGCGTGACGAGACAATTTCGTTCTGAAAAATGAGGAGTGAGAAATTTATTCGACAACGATACGAAAATTCATGGCTTCGGATAAACGCTTGAAAATGACTGGCTCGGAGAAATGTCAAAAATGACATTTGACACGTAACGGATACCAACACCTTTGAAGGATTCCAGGTCCATGGGTAAAACGTATGCACTGGTAATTTGGACAGGTATTAACGAACGTGTCATAATGATCAAGAGAATCCTTTTAGCGTCCTTGCTCATAACTGGCCAATTACTGTGAAATATTATATTAGGAATCTCGAGGCTCTACGGAGATAAAAATTCCACGAGATATTCTTCTAGGACATGGAAGGTAACTCGATGGCTAGTAATTACGTACCTTGGATTTCGCAATGTCGCCGTGCCAACAAAAGAAAAACGATTGAACCAACCCGCAGAGAATGTATATTAAAGCATCTATCGTCTGAGAGCCTACCTTGACTTGCGTCATTCGATAGAGGTTGAAGCACATCCCGCTTGCACTTGCTACAAATTGGAGACACATTATCGCGCTGAACAAATCGTTCACCTTTTTGCTGTAACTGAAATAATCCAAGCTGATATCATTTCAATTTTGTTCCTGTAAGTTATTTCGCTAGTTCGCTACTCTATTTAGACAAACCTGTATATTAATTTGTGATGACGAGCACAGCGTTTCAACTTCCCTATCTTGTCCCCTTCGATATTCTTCAGACGATGCTCGAGCAATTCGAATTGACAACAAATATGAAGCAACAGTCCGGCAAATAGAGTGTCGGAAACAATGATAGCGATACACGTGACCGTTATGCTGATGATCTGATGAAGCACGATTAGAGAATATAAAAGCCACGAGGAAGTACAGTCGAATGGTAACCACACGCGATGCGGTAATTTTTGATATTTAAAATTAATCGCCGTTACAACAAGGGTGCAAGCCACGTAGCTCATAATTTGTACCGTGTAAAGGATCGTGAGTTTTCTGTAAAAGAAGAGACCAATGGCATTATTCCTATGGTGGTGAAAAAGAGGGAGACACTTACTCGACTTGTTTTTCGAATTTCGTGAAAATTTTCTTATCCTTCGCGTCGACTGGCATGAATGGCCCATGTTCGAGAATGTTCAACAGGCTTTCGATAGTTTTTCGTTTAACGGCTAAGTTAAGCATTTTCAAGCTTGTGATGAAGGTCGTGATAGTTACGCCGATATTTTCGCACAGATCATTTTGATTTCCCACGTTGTAAATAGCGTCGAAAATTAGCGTTGCAACGAAGGTCCATATAAACGATATTACGACAACCATGTAAATGTTGTACAGAAATCGTTTCTTCGGACAATTTGACGCGAGCGGCGGATGATATCCACTAGCAATGAAAAGTTTTAACGTCCATCGTAATATGAGCATTGCGGCTTATTTCATCTACTCTTTGATCACCTCCGATTGAATTTTTATTTTATTGGTCGAGCAAGAGATTGAAAACAGGTCTTGGTAGAAGAGAAAAGATGGATATCCAGTTCGATGCAGTCCTGTCAGCTTTGGTAATTGTCAGTTGTTACGCGAAAACTCTGGTACCCGTGACATTCGATTCTACTAATGCTCAGGAGACAATGATATTATATTCTCTCAGATACAACAGCTCGATCTTGAAATTTATCCCCGTGCAATTGTCGTAGTTACCTAGGACGTATCAATAAGGCAACGCGATGCAAATGTTGCATTTTTAAAAATTGCCTAATAACACCATGTATATCTTATCATCGATTATGTCATTCCGCCTCACGAACGTTGTTCTATATTTCTAGTTATCCGGCTAGCTTCCTGCGGCTCTCCTTCATTACGTTGAAATATAGATGCTCCACTAAGGAACTAAACATAGTCGAGTGTGTTATTTATGCGAATAGTTACGTTCAACCTGCAACTGGATGTAGTCGCACAAATGACCTCGTGGAAGAAAGAAAACATGGAAAACGCGGGAATAGACGTAAAGACAACGCAATCACCCTGTCTATAAACGAATTTGCTTATTAACTTATTATCGCGTGGTCCAAAATCTTCTTTATCTGTCGTGAGTTCGACGTAGCGTACACGTTGTTAACAAAATACTTCCTCACCCTTGATCGTAATCGAAATCATGGCTTTACCTTTCTGTTATACACCATTCTCGTTACTCACAGCATCGAAACACTGTTACTTATTTCTGTTACCTTTCAGTCTCGTTATTATCGTGATTAAGAAACGAAGGAGATATAACTATGCTCACCATACGTCCTCGGTTGCGTGTATACCATTTGTGCGGTTTCCAACGATGGATTTAGCGAATCAAACCACACGAGTAGCCACGATGCATCCTTATGCGATTACATTTTTAACAAACAAGGTGGGAACTGAATCTCTCGTGTGCGAGACGATGAAATTTGTGAAGTGTCGCGTTTCGAGTGCTATTCGAGACACGAATTGCAAGCACGGTGGCTATGCGAAAACGTTTGTACATTCGAGGCGGACGTGGATTTTACGAAGGTTTCGTGTAATTTCGTGGAGAAAAGAGGGAAAAGGCGAAAGGAAAATTTGTCGCGGGGCACGAAGCACGCATGCCTACGAATTTCTTCTTACGAGAGAGATAAGAGACGAGATCCTTTCTTCTACCACGAAGTCGGTATTTAAATATTATCGGTGTTATTAGCGGATTAGAGTGTTTCTAGAGTTTATTACCGTGTATGCTATATTCATCGGTAAGTACATCTGCGAAACGTGTTCCCTCGGAAGAATCGAAAGGGATAGGTTTAGCGACAGGTAGACCTTTCCATTCGTATTACGACTCTTTGGTTTGTCGTGTAGCGACCATCATTCTCGCACTCGCCACTAGATGGATTCCGCCTTCGAGGACTATCCCGCGAGTCCTCGGAAAACTCTCAGTTCCTATATATATATAACTTCCCGTCCTTCCAATAGCATCCCCAGTGTCTAAGGCAAGGGCCTGCTCACTTTTGCCTTGACCTCCGAAGGTGACGGACGTACAGACCGATCCTCCTCCAGAGTCGAAGCCCTTACTGAAGCGAGTATACCTGCACTATACCGAGAGTGAAAACTTTTCTTGTGTAGTGGTACAAGTTCAAGAAATAGACAGTACACGAAGAATACAAGGGAATAATCCCTCAGCCACGGCGGATAATAATTTAATAATAACATCAAGGAATGACATAAACAGTGGAAGTGTCATAGACAAAGTGATAGAAATAATTAAAGTAAAAGGATTATCAGAGAAGCGGATAAATAAAATAAATGCCCGCGTAAACAACACCATCAAAGAGGAAAGGAAAATAGCTGCAAAACCAGTGCCAAACCTAATTGTGAAATAGAAACCATTAATATCACCGCCACTGAAGCTGCCCATTATGGCGCCAACAAAAAGGCCATCAGTCACCAGCCAGACACCAGAAGCAAGCGGGAAATCCGCACAGCCGAAATACGATGAATTGGTGCAAATCATCGAAAACCTGAATGAAACAGTAAAGCTTCTCTCGAAGCAGCTCGAGGAAGAAAGGGCGAAGAATAACGGGGGAAATCCTCGTCCCTCGCCGACCAGCCGTGCCGAGCAGCCGACCGTGGCACCTAGGACTACGGAAACCGCCACAGCCCCGGAGAAAAATCCAACAGCGTCCGAAGACAGCAAAGAGCAATGGACAAAGGTCGGATCAACAAGAAGACCTCGTCCCAGCCAACCTACGAGCTCAGTGGCCAGCAGCAGCACGAGTCATCAACGCCAGCCCCAAAGGATGGTAGCAGCACCTCCACCATCTTCGAAGAAGATGAAGGAAACGAACATCTCCGAGCAAAGAAGCTCACCGAACGAATAGTCGTGATCATTTTGAAATTATCGTTCACCATCGAATCAAGTCTGCAAAATGTTTGTTTCTTTTCTCCATTCCCATAAGTTGGAACGCGAAAAGAACACGGATTAAAGATAAAGATAAATAAATAAGGAAGAAAGGAAATTAGTGGTTTTCAAACTAACGTTTACAAACGACTCGAGAGACAACGTTATCGCGTGAATGCTAGTCATTTCGATGGGGTACGTGGAACGCATCATGATCATTAACAGATTGGATTTAGTCGTTCCGTCGAGGCGAGGCCAATCGAGTTCGATAATGAAGCATGGAGGCTCTGAACGTAAAAGGCAAGGTTAGAAAAAGGATATTATAATCGAAAGATCCCTCGTTTTCATCGGGGCCAAATACCAATTCCCTGACTTCGTTCCTGTACCAGCAGTGAGCAAATATTTGCATTAATGTTCAGAAACTGAAAATCGATAATTGTATCATTCTCTCGGTCGGGATTTTCGTTTTCAATAACATGTAAAGGTTGATGCACGTATTACTAGCATGCTCACACCGAACTGAACCAAAATCACCATTTTAAACTCTTCGTTTATCACCGTGGCGATTCTGGAATCGTTTCATCGGCGCATGAATCGGTAATGTTTTGAAACTGTCAACTCCTTAACCGAGTTCGTCTTTTGCAATTTCAACGCTCTGCGGACGTTTTCATAGATTAATCGATATTTTCGTAGATTAAGTCCGTTTTAAACGTCCGAACGGTTTGCAAAAGATGGAGGAATCGTAAAGCTGGACGCTTAGCTCGGTTAAGGAGGCAAGAGAAGAATGAAACGTGCAAACACGTGACACCATACCTATATATAAGATCGTGATAACGGACGCACATCTTCGTGCACTTATTCTCGTTTGGTTTTTTCCTTTTCAGACGATATTCGAAGATATTTACCTGGCTAGAGACATACATCAACAGGGCACAGATGAAGCTGTCGCAGGCGACGTGTGCCATAGCACCGATGGATAGACTACTGACATGTTGCAAGTAAACGAAGGTATGTACAGTTAATAGTGGTATAGTTGCATGGTAACCACATTCCATACATTAATACATTAGCTTGTAATTTCCAACCTTCGGCAGACCACCCAATGACATTACAACCGCACCACCGATTGTTCTAGACTAAATATTCCTGATTCGCACAGTTATCTCGGTTCAAACGCTTCCTGTTCGTGCGAAAAATTTGCTACGATAGGAATAATAAAAGAGTTTCCAACAAATACCCCGAGGTAAAGAGAAATTAGTTTCGAATTAGTCACGCGTATTGTTTTACAGAATTTTATTTTAATATTTCAAGAGTCGTTCCTAAAGCCTGAAACGAAAAAAGGAGATGGAAAACAGGAAATTTCCATTCTTTCGATCCCGGTCACGGTGGAAATTCCTGTTTCCTCCCTTGACGTAATATTCGGAAAAGATAGACAAAATTGCCTAGACGGTGGAAAGTACGGCGGTAATATAAAATAAAGGTTAGGATATTTATTAGAAAGTAATTAATCGTATTAGGTAAAATATTCACCTGACCTTTTCGTTGCGTTTCTTTCGAATCTCTATCTCTTCCGTGCTTTCCGGTTGGAAGGGCTTACTTTCCATGTTGGTTATAACAATATTTTTATTTCCGGTCATCATGCTGTATATCTTGCAACAGGAAGCGACCCATGACAGGGTTAAATAAAAATTTTCGCAGAACTCGTCCTCGGTTTTCACGTTCAGCAACGAATCCACGATTGCACGGAACATCGTACCGAATACCGATAACATCGCGTAGCAATAGTAAACGGTGTACACGTAGCTTTTCATTGGCGAAAGCATAGGAAGCCTCCAACAAGCGCACGCTGTCAAGAGGTAATATATCATTCCCATCGAGTTCATCGTTAATTTCTCTCGATTCTTTGTTCTCCACTATTTCCCTTCTTCGCGTTCCATGATTCCGATCACCGTCCAGATTGAATCGACGATTTAATCGCAAATTTTCCTCAACGACCGTGTGCTCTGCCACGCTGGGACTACTTTCCTATTGCCATGGCATCACGACCAACTGGAAATTCCACGAGTCGGAGAAATGGATCGACGAAATGCGAATAACGTATTTAAACGTGTATAGCAACGTAGGATCAAAGAACATCGATATTCCTCGCGATTACTGAAATAAATAAGTACCTATGAGATTGTCAACTCTCCCTCTGCCGTAGGGACTACTCTGTTATTGTTATTTCGGACACATGCACGGAAAATTTCTCGGGAAAACTCCCTTGACATTATTTATTTCCAGTCTTTAAATTACATCGTTTCCCGTCGTTGTTTAGCCAACGTATATATGAATCAGACGGAATAAATGTTTGACGAACAGCAAGCACGAATTCGAGGCGAATTTCTCGTTTGTTTCGAGCATCTTTTTCATCTTGCTCTTTCCTCTTTCGAACGAAAGAAGATAGCCTGACACGCGGAATAAATCTCGGGGAAAATTAACTTCTATTTTCCTACTTTCAACACGAAAATTGTACGCTTCTTCCGGCTCTTCTTCTTTAATCTCGTTATTTAAGTCGTTTTCGCGATTTTCAACGCTAAAAATTTCCAAGCTTCGATGCTCGACGTTTTTAATTCGAAGATATTTCGTTACAGGTATCGACTTACGGACAGATCGGATTTTACCTCGCTATGCGTTCGTTCTCTGAAGCAAATTGTACGTCGAATACGACATTTTCAATATCTGCAAGCAACGTTGTACAATTGTGAATTATTCAAGTTCATCTAATACTTATATGCATACGTGCGTATACGAGACGCTTACGAGCCAAAAGCGATTAAATTCGTTCCTTCAAACGTTTCATCGATATCGAATTTATGTTTTCCGGTTTAAAATAAATTTCCATCTGCCCTTCCACGGAGCTAATTAACCCTTTGCACTCGAGAGGTGACTTTCAGTCACCATTTCATAAAATTGGCAAGATCGGTATTAATTAATATATCAAATTTAATGTAATAGTGTGCGAGGTATCGAAATCAAATAATTCTACAATTCTGTTATTACACAATTCTGTAGTTACTGGTGAAAAAGGTATCGTCTGTATTTTAGTAGAGAATCTTTGAATTTCTACTCTTCTCTAGCCAAACAATCGTCGAGTGCAAAGGGTTAATTTATCGAACGAGCATCTCGTATATGCTTTTCAATTTTTCTACTAACGCTCACGACGGTCTTCAAACTCATCGTAAAGATGTAGGCACAGGTGAGCTCGATGGGAATGATCGCTCTCCTCGCTATGTTCAGCAAACTCTTCCTGCTGCTTATATCGAGACATAGCCAGTCCATTTCGAAAATCGCATCCACCACCTCCACGCTCTGTGCTTGCGCGAATTATCGAATGACAAAGAATCATCATCCACGCTCCACTCTTTTCGATCTCGCAAAGTTAACGCGATGAAATTTACCTTTACTTTCAGCTGATCGCCGTACCAGCAGTAAAAGAAGATCTGCGTCATCATGCAGATCAGATAGAGGACGAATTGCAGGAACCTGGAGCTCATTAGCGGCGCGTTCGCCAATTCGTAGAAGATAAAGCACACTACCAGGGTGCTCGACAGCAGTTGGATGCCTATTACCTCCTTAAACTTCTGCAGTACCGTCGAAGCGTATCTGTTTCTCCACGCAACGCGCACTCAACGTATATTTGAGAAAATTTTCGAATGAGGAAAGAAACGAGAGCCTCGAAAGGAATGTAACTAACCCGTAGAGATAATCGTGGAAACGCACGATCCTCCCGATGTCCGGCTTCGTTTCCTCCACGATTCCCTTTAATCGGTGCTTCAAGATTTCTAGCTGGCTGCACATGTGAACGAACAGTCCGCAAACGATCACGTCGCATGCCACGTTCACAAGCGACGTGCCGATCAGAGCCACGATCTGATGAAAATACGTGACATAGTAGTAATTCGGCAGGGAGTAGTTGAAAGGCAGCCAGGCTCGGTATGTCAGCTTCCGGTTAGCAAAGTCGGTGACAAACGAGCATAGAATCATACAGAGAACCGTGAACTCCACCACAATCGTGTACCAAATTGTGATTGACCTGTAACATCAACCCCTGTACCTAGAGTTCGTCTCTCGTCATTAAATCGTCTAAGTCGGACAGCTCTGTTGTTCTTTCTGAGATGCTGCGAATGATTTAAACGATTAAATAAATTGTAGGCTTTGATCCGCGCTCTTTTCAACTACTCCGTGATAATTTGCGACGATTAAAAGTCAAGAGAGAACGACGTCTCGCGAATGCGATTGGCAAGAGGATGTCAAAAATGTGCCATTCTTGGCATCGCCTGTAAATGCGTAATTTCGAGGTCCTGAAGGAATTTTCTATCCACAGACGATGCCAAAAATGGCCTGTCTTTAACATCTTCTTCTACGTAGCGTTCGTTTACCCGATGCTCTGATCGAATTGCCGTTGGATGACGAGCTCCTGTACATTCGTGGGCTTGCAAGGCTCTTCCTCGAGCTTCTTACTCAGCGTTCTAATCGCTTTGCGGTTGATCAGAAGCGCCACGATTTTGCAGCAGGCGAGAAAGGACGCGATGAACATGTAGAAGCTGTCGCTCAGCTCGTCCACCATCCTCACGTTCAGTATCACGTTCAACAACTGTGAGATGCAGAAAACGTAGAGCAGAAACAGCACCAACGTAGTGTACAGGTTGTACAGAGCCTTGGCGTACACTGCTCGACACGAGACTGGCATCCAACATCCGCAAATGGTCAGTATTTTAAAAGCTGGCTGCAGAATGCTCATTTTTTAGTCGTTACGAGATATAGTACGGAGAAAGAGAAAAATTCGTGGATACTTTAGCAGGTAAATAAAGGAGAATTATACTTTCTTCGATCGGGTGGCCGATATTTCTTATTTCTCTGTTTCTCGGTTATTATTTCTTGTTCTTTCGCGTAAAAAGTCGGTCTAAGATGATATTTATGTGCGCGTGAATCAGACGATATGCTTCTATCAAGAAGGAACTTTTTACTCGCGTATCGATGTCTCGGCGAAATTTTACAAAACACTGGCTACCGTGGATAGATTGTAACTTTGGAGAACGATACCTATAGAAAGCTCTCATTACATGAGAAAGCTATCGTCCACTTTTGTCCACCCTAATATGCACGAAGCGTATCATTATCGTAATGTCTAGCATGTTACGATATTGTCTTTTGAGTTACATTTTTATGACTCCTCTCGGGTAACCATTTATCTTAGAAATAAAGTCTTTTATCATTTATCACAAGATCGATTCGTTTGAGTACAATGGATTCGTTTATTTGCAGAAACCTGTAAATGCCGAGACAAAGAAGACCAATGCAGAAAATCGAGAAAGCGAAAAGAGAAGGAAAGAAATTCAAGCTGTCTACAACGATGAAAGTTATGTTAATAATTTCCCAGTTCTGCGATATTTATTTAATATTTTAAACAGTGTATAAAGAAATACCTTAAGATATTCGTGTAATTTTTGAATTTGTAACAATTTCTATGAGACTGGAAATATAGTGCAAGTTTAAAAAAAAAAATAACGAGTCTTCGATTCATTTCTCTTGTAATTTCCTAACGCGAATTTCAGTAAAGAATGGAGATAGAGCAGGAGAAATAAACAGATTAAATGTACACGAGTAATGACGCTAAATTTTGAGAAATAACGTATCTTGGAGCTCTGTCCCACTGTTAAAAAATCAGCAAAATTGGTCAAGAGTTAGAAGCAGAAAAATACCGCGTGCCACCTCTTGCAGAGTTATATTCTCCTGATACAAAATCGCGAAATCGGTCGGAAATTTTACGGCGAGGCTGCAAAAGCATTGTCCGAGAATTCTTGGAAATGACGTCATTTCTTGGAACTGTCTCGGCGAGCAACTTCCTGTCATATCATGTTCTCCTGATACAAAGTCGTGAAATCAGTCAGAAAATTTTCTTCGAGACGACAAAAATATTACCCGAGAATTCTTGGAAATGTCGTCATTTCTTGGAACTGTCTCGGCGAGCAACTTCCTGTCATATCATGTTCTCCTGATACAAAGTCGTGAAATCGGTCAGAAAATTTTCTTCGAGACGACAAAAATATTGCCCGAGAATTCTTGGAAATGTCGTCATTTCTTGGAACTGTCTCGGCGAGCAACCTCCTGTCATATCATGTTCTCCTGATACAAAGTCGTGAAATCGGTCAAAAATTTTACGACGAAGCGGTAAAAGTATTGTCCATCGAGGCGGCAAAAGTATTGACCATCGAGGCGGAAAAAGTATTGTCCATCGAGGCGGCAAAAGTATTGTCCACCGAGGCGGCAAAAGTATTGACCATCGAGGCGGTAAAAGTATTGACCATCGAGGCGGCAAATGTATTGTCCATCGAAACGGCAAAAGTATTGACCACCGAGGCGGCAAAATTATTGTCCATCGAAACGGCAAAAGTATTGTCCGAGAATTCTTGGAAATGACGTCATTTCTTGGAACTGTCTCGGCGAACAACGTCCTGTCATATTATGTTCTCCTGATACAAAATCGCGAAATCGACCAGAAACTTTTCTTCGAAGTATCAAAAGCATTGTCCGAGAATTCTTGGAAATGACGTCATTTCTTGGAACTGTCCCGATGAACAACCTCCTGTCATATTATGTTCTCCTAATACGAAGTCGCAAAATTGGCTGAAAGTTTTTCGCGAGCGGCTGGCAAAGTATTGCCCAATGAACGACTTCCTTTCATATTATGTTCTCCTAATACAAAATCGCAAAAATTGACCCAGAGTTGGCCTCAGGAAAGTACCACGTGCTACCTCTTGCAGAGTTATATTCTCCTGATACAAAATCGCCGAAAACCGTAAATTTCTACTTTTGCAAGAAACTATAAAAAGTAGCGGGAAGGGGAGAATAATAAAAAACTGTAATCAAATATATTATAATTTTTTTTATTAAAATAGAATACATTTACAATAATGTGGGATAAATTCTTGACTTAATTTGTTAGTTACAAATATGCATATTGTACAAGTGGTTTGTTATTTTCTATATTTCAAGGTACAAATGCTTTATTGGAATACTTGGTTTTTTTCACATCTTATTTAAAAAATAGCGTAGCAAAAGTCACAGCGGTTTGTACAATGTATTTTTATACAGTGCGTAAGATCTAATGTTATTTTATAAACTTATTCTGTTTAAACAATTAGTTGGTTCCATCTGGTCTCGATCTTCCTGCGACTTTGGGCATTTTTTTATTCGTAGAATCTTCCAGTTCTTTTGGTTTGTAATAATGAGGGGCTACCTCCAAAAGCCATTTACTCTCGATCTCTGTTACCTGTAAAATTTAACAATGTCGTGATTATTCGCTCCAACTTCTTGAAATAGCTAAAATTACATAAGTAATCGCAAAGAAGATAATTCTTCAACGCTACGCTACAATATTAATAATTTAAAAAATATTTAAAATTTATTATATTAATATTATTATATTATATAATATAATAATATTAATAATTTAACAAATATTTAAAATTCATTATATTAATATTATTATATTATATAATATAATAATTAATATTATTATATTTAATATTTATAATTTAAAAATTTAAATACCTGTCTCATAAATTCTTTTGTAGTGAAGACCAACTCGTGATACAACAGCCAACGAGGTAGTTCTTGAAACAACGAGCTATTAGGATGAATGGAGACTGTCTGATTATGTTTTGCTGTTTTGTAGTGTCCACCTTTTGAGAGCCTCGCCACGTGATAGAAATACCCTGCTGTGATAGCCTGGAATTCAATCAATTGATTCAATTTCCCGAGCTTAACTTATCCTCGCGTCTTTTTATATCGTTGTTAGTAAAAGAAACAAATCCAAAGAAAAAAAAGAAAAAGAGAAAACAGGAATGACTAATAATTTACTTTTACTTACTTTCCTAATGTTCACAGTTTCCGTGATACCCGATACGAGTTCCATCTCAACTCGTTGCATCAATCCAACTAATTGCTCCCTGACATCTCTGGCCCTTTTCATTGACCGATGCTGAATGAAATTCTCGTAACACCAATGAGTACTAAAGTCGCTCTGTTGCCATTGATTGTACACATTCAGCAAAGTCAGATGATCGCCACCAGGAACATGAAAATTCTTTCGAGCTGTGTCTGCGTGGATAATCTTATCTTTAGGTCTGTAAAAAATGGCCCCGTTCACCGATAACATGGCAGCGATCGTAGCTACTTCCTCTGAGCAGCGATATTGCTCGCTGGCCAGCAACATCTTTGCCATCATGGGATCCAAAGGGAATTCGGCCATTCTTCGACCAAGTTTCGTCAATTCTCCGCGATGATTCAAAGCACCCAAAGCATACAATTGTTCCAAGGCTAGAACTAAAGTTTCGTGGGGTGGAGGGTCGAGAAAATCGAAATGGACCAGATCATTTATTCCTAATGCTTTCAGAGTCAGCACGGCGTTTCCTGTAACATCGAAATAGTTTGAATACCCAAAAGAAACCCACAGAAGGAATGGAAAATGATATATTTTTGTGACTGAGATTAATTAATATAATTTCTGGTACCGAGATTAATCCTCTGAATTTCAGGAACAGTATTGTCCTCGAGTTCGTGTTGATAGGCCCACGCTGTGTACAGTCGAAAGCATTTTCCTGGAGCCACCCTTCCGGCCCTACCAGCTCTCTGATTAGCAGAAGCTTTACTAATTGGTACAACCATTAAACTCTCCATACCTGTTCGGGAATTAAAATTGTTCTGCTTCGCAAATCCAGGATCTATCACGTACACTATGTTGTCTATCGTTAACGACGTTTCTGCTATATTCGTGGCGAGAACTACCTGAAAAATTAACAATTGAAAATATTCAAAGGATGCACTTTAATGACAAAGAAATAAGAAATCTATATTTCGTACCTTTCTCGCGCCAGGCGGCGTGGGTTGAAATATCTTTGCCTGCATGTCGCTCGGAAGATTAGCGTAAACAGGTAGAATTAAGAGTTCCCCTAATTTTGAACCTAGTCGTCTTACTCTCTCTTGCAACATTTCCTGGCAAGTTTCGATTTCGTCTTGACCTAACAGGAATTCGTTAAACTGTTCAAAGTTGCAAGAAATGAACTAAAAAGTATCGAATATATACGATAATGATGGAAATACCTGTTAAGAAAACCAATATATCGCCAGGTGGTTGAGTAGCATGTATTTGAAGAATGGAGACAACACAAGCATCGATGTAATCAGCTTCCGGTGCTTTGGTGTAATAAATATCGACGGGGAAACGTCGACCAGGTATCCGAAATATTGGGGCATCGTCAAAGAATTCACTGAACTTTGTAGCATCTAACGTGGCGGAAGAAATTAGTAATTTCAGGTCTGTTCGGAACCTCGTTATATCCTTTACCAAGCCGAACAAAATATCCGTGTGCAAGGTACGCTCGTGAGCCTCGTCGATGATCATAACACTAAAAAATAAATATAGCAGATAGATTATAATTGAACGACTAATTAGAGTGCAATGAGTAGACAAATTTTGTAAAAATGCAAGCAGCAAATTTCAATGAATATTATCTGAATCTCGATACCTGTAAGAAGCCAAGTCCGGTTCGCTGAGAAATTCGCGATGAAGAGTACCATCGGTCATATATTTTATACGAGTACGATGAGAAGTACAATCCTCGAAACGAATCGCGTAACCTACTTCGTTGCCTAATTTTACAGCCATTTCGTGAGCAACCCTCGCCGCAACGGACATTGCTGCTACTCTTCGTGGTTGCGTGCAGCCAATAATCTTATTATTCTCCGCGAATCCGGACTCGTACAAGTATTGTGGAATTTGCGTGGTTTTTCCAGAACCTGTTTCTCCCTCGATTATTAAGACCTAAGCGAAATTAAACGATACGATAACAATCATCGTTGCTCGACTTACTAAACTTGACTAAATAAAAATTTGCCAAAATACCTGATGGTCTTTGATGGCTTGAATGAGATCGTTTCTAAAAGGATAAATAGGTAAACTCTTTTTGGTCTCTTGTATAGTTTGCAACGCCTTCACTTGTGGGGGTGGACTCTCTTCGCGCCTCCTGTCTTTCTCACTGCCAGGCATACGTAATGCCTGAACAAATTCCACTTCATCTTCTAATAATAGATCATAATCTTGTTGCGCTACAAGTAATTAAAAATTATGTCAATGAAGCTCAACAATTAAAAATGAATCAGTAACAAAATATCATTTACCTTTTCTGTCTTTAGCACCAAACCGAAAAACAGCAGAAGACATCTGATCGGATTCCCATTTGCTTTGTTCAGATTGCGGTGGTTCATTGTCGTGAACTTCTGGTTCTGGTTCCAATTTTCCTTTCTCCAAAGGCATATGATAACGCTGCACCCTTTCAAGCTCCCTAGCTTTTTCATGTTCCTTAGCTAATTGAAGCAATTGCTTTTTGTGCGCCCTTTCTGTCTTTTCTTGATCCGTTAATCTAATATATAAACACATCGATTAGTCATATAATATTAACCAATTCTTTGGTGCATTGTTTCAGTAATATTACAATTTACAAATTACATTTCTTCCTGGAACAAATATTCATCGTCGATTATATCAGCCTCCAGCTCAGCAACTTTATCCTCTTTGCGCTTCTCCAGGTATTTGCGGCGAGATTCGACACGCAATTTGGGCACCAGTTTCTCTCGCATATCTGTTTCCATAAGTTTGAGTCTTTTGGCAGCTTCGGCTAATAAAGAAACGATATTTAGATCAAACGTAAAATACAGTACAATGTACAGACAATAAATTGTCTATAAAACCCATTGTTATGTATATCTATTAAAGAACATATTTGTATACAACATAAAGCTATAATTACATCTGTTTAAAATATAATAGTATGAAAATACGGTTTACCTGCTCCTGAACCAGCTGGCATAGCCACTCTTCGAATTTTACTTTCATCTTTCGCTTTTAACCTATTAGCAAACTCGTCTCTTTCTTTGATATCCTTTTTACGTCTTTCCTCTTCGCTGTCGCTGTCCTCGCTCGAGGATTCTTTCCTTCTGTATTTACTCATCGTGTATTTGTAGTATCAAAAATAGGTTATATTTACCTCCGATTAAGGAGTCAAAAGAATGGCGTAAAGCACAATAATACTACTTCTCTTTCCTAGTCTTAATTTCGTCGATCATCGTGAATGCAGAGAACACCAAATTCTGTTTGTTTTTAGCAACGATAAATATCAAACGAGCACAAGCAACAAAGGAATTTATTTTGAGGTTAGTTTCGTTTAATCCTCTCGACTTTCATTTGTATTGAATTTTAGGTCTTTTGATTAACGCTTGTTCAGTCGCACAGATTCACGTATCGCGAATAAACATCAATGAATGAGTCTCACGGCAAAGAACGAAAAGAACTTGCAAAATTCGACTTTAAACAGCCGGTCGGTCACGGATCGAATGGCGAACTGGCTGGCGGCCATGCGACTGTAGAAATGGAGCGCGTTGCTAGGCAACATGCGTAACATCACGTGACGTGCAGCGTGCGTAGTAAACTCATTCAATAAAAAAGTACGAGCGACTCCATTCATTGTATCTTTAATCCTTTACGCTATCGAATATTCAAATCTTATTTTCGTTAGCCTTTTTCTTCCCCCTTCGCTTATAAACAACGCGTATTTACTTAACATTTACTTACTTAAGATGTTCGTATAGAACGTAGTAAACAGATAGCGAGTATACGAAATATTAAAAGTCCATTGAAAATTTATTAAAAGAGGTGAACGTAAGTAGGTAACGTTTTACATGACACAAACAAAGTTCACGAAGTTTATTCATTTAAAATTTATTTCTAGAAGAAATACGTCGTTGCGATAATATATATATATATATATACATGTATGTGTATATATATATTATTCAGAAGCCAAAAATATTCTCCGTAACGGGAATAGTTCGATCGATTCCAAATGTATATCGATTCTTCGACCATAATATAGTGACGTAAAGAACGACAAAACAGCGCACACTAAACAGAGCCGATCGTTGTCTCGAATATACTTTTTATTATACATACATTAATGAAAATATATACATGGTAGACTGTAGCTTGTCGAAGCAGCGAAATGTCAATGTATAATCAGCTACAGTATTCGTACACGAACTGTATGTAATCTTTCCTGTATTTTTCTTTTTTCTTTTTCTCTTATATTCGATTCCTTCTCGCGACGTTCTCTTACTTTCTGTTCAATTAAAAGCAAAGATCGTCGTGACTTTAGGAGGCACGTGTAGGCCGACACGTGTAGACCATTAAACGTGTTACGTTCTTGTCTTTAAGTTTCTATTTTACAACCGTGAATCAAATGGATCTCGATCGCGACCGAGCTTATATTTTCTTTTTCATTCTTTTCCGTTTCACAAAATACTGTTTCGGGACGAAAATAGTGTATGCAGGGGGAATGGGGAGGGAGGTTGAAAAACACACGACCAGGGTATACAATGTGGTACTTGATACTTTCGCTGGCTTCGATTAACATCTGTATTCTTTTCTCTCTCGTTCACACCCTCTCTTTCTCTCATTCTTTCTCCCGAATCTCACGTTCTCTCTCTCTCTCTCTCTCTCTCATCGTTCTCTCTCTCTGTTTCTTTCCTATTCTACAGCACAGCCAAACACTTGCTCGATCACTCGGCTTCAAAAGCTTCGTTTTATCTCCTCTTCACCTTCTTCCTCCGTTTTCCAGTTCGTTTCTTTCCTTCGCGTCAGTTCTTTCTCAATTCTCCTTACGACACGATCTCTTGTTACGTCGGACATATAGCGCGTTATTATATACCAGTAGACTACAACACCGCGATAGGTAAACAATTCTTCTCCGTTCCTCTTGTTCATTTCGTTTTCTTCCATTATCACGATAATCCTTCGTTTCAGTGGTAAACAGATCTCAACGTACGTCGCTCCCGAGAATTCTTCACGATTTTCCCATGCCCGATCAACGGGCTTCTCGACAGGCTCTTGCGTCTCGCAATATTTCCACGTAACGGGACACGATTCTATTATATTCGATACACAATTTGTTGTACTAACGATTACGCCGATTCACAGATCCGTGGATGATTCGCAATCTATCATCGATCCAAATTCCGGCCGTACATTCGCGTCAATGACTTTCATCATCGATAATCGACGGATTTACTAAAAATAAAATTTTCACGAGCGTTTACGAAAATGAAGAAACTATATAGATTTTCTCGATATTTTTCTCCTTTTCGAATCCCCTAACTTACTCTGTTTCTTTTTCCTGCTTTTTCGTGCTTTTATTTTTTTCTTTCTTTATTACCACGGATATCATTGAACTGGTTCCGAGACATTCGAACATCCAACGAATTCGACAAGGTTCGTGCAACAGCGATGGTCGTTCGAACGTCTCGTTGCCTTTTCCTATAAATCGGTCGAACCGAAGTGCAACTTCGAATGGCGTGAAATGCCGATAATGCATCAAGCGTCACGAGTAACTAAACAGTCTTATCGTATCGAGAATGAGCTTCAACTCAGAACACCGTAAAAATGCATCGACGATCGCACATGAAACGTAAACGTTCGTTAAAACGTCTTGGGTATTTCAAAAGATCGCTGCGAAATAATTTCTGCGAAAGACGTCCAAAGTTTCGAGAAGTTTCCTACCTTTTCGGATAGTTTCGAATCTTTTCGAATATCGCACGAAATTGCAACTTCCTGAGAGATTCTTTTGACTATTTACACGGTCGTACGTTTTCGCTACACGAAAGATTTCGAATAGAAAAGAAAGAAAGAAAGAAAGAAAGGAAGAAAAGAGAAGAAACGAAAAATGAGATAGAAAAAGAAATATCAACCTTTCGTGTTTACTTTATCACCGATAATCTTTTATAAATTTGAACGACATTCGAAAAGGTTCGAAGCATTATCGCACTCACCGGAATATCGAATGTACATCGCTAAACATCGCTAATTGCACGTGGATGCACGACTGTCGAGCGCTCGACAAGTTTCGTTTCAGCCAAAGAGAAAAAGAGAGAGAAAGAGAGAGAGAGAGAGAGAGAGGAGAGAGAATGACATAGAGGCAGAGAGAAACAGTGAATCACGCTCGAAAATCTTTAACGGCTGGCACATATGAGAGTCTTTGCTTCGTTTTATTATTATTATTATTTCTTTTTAAATCTTGTACATCCTCCGCCATACAGTAATTATCCGTGAAATTTCGACTACGTAATTATACGCAATTTATAAGTTCTGCGGCGGCTCAGGCACTGCGATTGACTTCATATTTTGAGCCGAACTCGATCGAACGAGGCGCGAAGCGACAGTCGTGCGTGCGTCCACGAATTTGTTTTCGTAGGATCGATGGAAAAATTTCGAAAAATTCGAAGGAAAAGCATGGACGAAGAACGGAACGGATGGTTCCGTGAGCGAGACCCGCGAGCGGTAAATCGAGTGGCGTTACAGAGTTCGTTTGTTCCACCGTCTGGTTCGATTAAAAATCTATCCTAAAACATCTGCCGATTCCCTTTCGTGCATCCCTTAATCGCTAAAGATAAATGAAGAAAAAAAAAAATAAAAAAATAAAAAATAAAAAACAAACGACACCGAACGACGCGTTACGATGATCACGTTAGTTCCTCTTAAGGATGACATGCAGCGTATAAAACATATCATATCTATATATTTATTCTTTTAATGCTTCTTTCCCTTTTCTGTTAATATATACCTTTTATATATTTGCATTTATACTTATATTCATGTGTGTTTCTTCATTCGGTATTCTGTTTACACACTATATATTAAATACATATACGATGTACGCTCTTACGCGCTAGCAAGGATTAACAATCTATACGTTCTTTTATTTTTTTTTTTATTTTTTTCTTTTTTTTTCTCTCGACGCAACGACACGCGTTCGATACACATGACTGTCTCCTTGAAATTCGTCGAAACAACGGGAAGGAGAGAAACGGAGTGCGGTCACGTGGCGATTCTATTGCACTTTAGGATGGACCGTCGTGTTCATCTCGGTTTTGCAAAAAAAGACGTTCGCCTGGCTTCGATCGTCGAACGTTCAGTCGTTACAGGCGATGCTTAAAGCTTCTTCGTCATAATCGAGTATATTCCGACTACTTCAAGAAAAATATAAACGCGAACGGCTGCTGTCTCCTCGAGCCATCGCGACGCTTTTAACGCCCTTCCAGTCAAAACATCGATCACGAAAAGTCGAATGTTCTGTCATGAGAACTTTCTCACAGTCGAAGATTCTTCTCTGACTCTTCTTTCCCCTAACTTTCCTCGCAAGCAAAACCACGCAGGGTGACCAGAGTTCTTCCTCTCTATCCGGCTAACTTTCATCGTAAGACAATAAACATCGCGTCGAACTTCCATCTTCGTCTCTCCCCCATTCTACATTTCGCGCTTTTCCATTCGTTCCTTCCTTTCTGTTCCGTTTCTTCCGATTTTTCGTTCGAACGACGTAGCCGCGACTCAAAGATCAGCGAACAAACGACTTTACACGTATCAACGTATGCACGACGTATATAGTCGGCTCGCGTACTGCCACCATTCCGTAAACCTAGGCTTAAAAGGTAAGAATTGGCCAGCGAGTAGATCGCTAGGCTCAGGTGAATCGGTTATTCAACGTATCAACGCTTTGATTCGTTTAGTCAGTCTGTGCTCTCCTAGTCCATGACGAATTAAGATACGGAGTGGGGAAAAAAGAAGAAGAAGAAGAGGAAGAAAAAATAAAACGTTACAAAACGAGGGAGGAGAAACGAAAAAGAAGGGAAAAAATGTATATATGGATGTCTGGGCTGGCGGGAGGTGGAATATGTACGATACGTTTGAGACTCGATAAGCGTGACTCGCGAACAGAACCAGTTGTCCAGTCTGTCCATCCGTCCGTTCGCGAGTCCTCGTAAAATGCATCATAAACGTGTGCCACCGTGAAACGCTGGTAGCAATTAAACGAGAGCTTCAAACGCGACAGAGTCTGTCGCATCTTTGTCCCTCTCTTCCTTCGTCTTCTTTTCCCTTCGGTTTTCCTCTTCTAGGAAGAAGCGAAGTCAACAACCGCGCTGGATTCTTCCTTACGTTTCTCGTTTCCGTTCTCATTAAGTGTGTTGCCCGCGACATGCATGCGCGTCTCGTTAAAAGAAAAAAAAAAAAGAAACGTTCGTAGGTGTCGCGGTTACCAGTCTGGCGTGTGAGATCGTGAACTTGGCTCTTAGACCCGGAAAGGAAATAAAGCTTCCGCGACGACATCTTCGTAGCACGCGTGCATCGTTCATTTTCGAAGAACGTGCGTGTCTCTTGATCTAAACGAACGATGGTACGTCGATCCGTGATTCCTCCATGAGATTCCGTCTTCCGTGTCCTCTTCTCTTTCCTCTCTATCTCTCTCTCTCTCCGTTTTTCCGTAGTTTTCTAGCCTTTCCATTCCCCCCCCTCCCTTTTTTAAAAATTAGTTTCCCTTTTCGTAGAGTTCTCTTTTCTCGTTTCTTTTTCCCTTTTTTTTTCTTTTTTTTTTTTTTAAATCAAAAACGTTATAACAGGCAGTGTTCGTTTGAGAAACTGCTACAGGAACACACGCGCACACGCATACATACACGCACGCAAGCACGCACGTCGATAGAAATTGAATGTCTGGAATAATAGCACGGCTTTTATACGTAGCTTAAAACACGTTCGACGCGACGTCGTTTACCTTCTCTGACTTCGTTTTATATTTCCTTTTTCACTTCTCTTTCATATTTCCATCCTTCTCTATTCCCTTTTCGAATTTCAGAAAAATGTAATTATTGGACGCATGCTGTGTGCCGTTACCGCACACGGAACGGATTACGCGTTCCTTTTTGCTTGACGATTAAACGTTTACGTTTAGCAGAGAGAATGCGTCGTACTAAAAAAATATATGTATATATGTACATATATATGTGTATATATATATATATGATACATATACGTATGTATATATGCTTATCATTTTGTTTCACGTGGAACATCCAACCGCGAAAATTTTCGGCTCACGATCGATACGTACGATCGTGTTGGCCCGTATAGGAGCGGTGCGTAACGCTTATCGTTAGATAAAAATTAAAAAAAAAAAAAAGGAAAAGATGCTTGCTGCTATCGCGCAAGTCGTCATCGTTCTCTCCGATGTCCTCATCATCGTCATTAGCGTCTTCGTCTCTGTCGTTCCGTCTTTTTATCTCTTCTCTTTTATCCGAGAAATCGGTGCGACGAGTGTGATCGGGAAACGAAGTGATCGTCGGTGAAACAACTTTGGAATATCCTTTCATCGCCGAATAGTTACTTACTGCCGTGACGAAACGACGACGATTGTTAAAGCACGTACTATCAAAAATCAATAGAGTTCCAGTAGAAACGATATATCACTGTACACCGCAACAGTGTCGAATAGCAGTGATAGAAACAGTTTTACAGTGAGCTGGTAGTAGCAGTGACACATTAGTAATAATTGCAGCAGCAGCAGCTGATAATTGCGCATGCGCGCACGTATGTGTGTATTGTGTGTGTGTGTGTGTAGTGTATGTGTGTGTAGTGTGTGTGGATAAGTGTGCGTGTAGAAGTTAAGAGTGTCGTTGACGTACTGTTCTTTTGTACTCGTTGCGTGTGTTGCGAGTCGAATTGGTATGTCTGTCAAAGGATTCGCGATTTCATTCACGACGAGGCTTGTTCTCACTGTTGACGATAGGCGACCAGAGTCTCGGTCTGGCAACCGGAAGAGGGAAGGACCCACGATCGCCGTGAATCGGCGACCATCGAAATTAAAAGTCCACCTGTAGTGTGGTACATCGGACGATTTGCATCAGAGTCAGTTTTATGCGAAATCACAGAATGACGCAGCATCGGCAGTATCGCTGCCGAGATGCTCCCGCGCTTGGCGGCGGTGTTACTGGCGCGAAGTACGCGTGGACTTTAATATTCGGCAGATGTGTCTGAAACAGAACGACCAAGTGGTTCGTTAAGGCAAACGAAGAACAATGGGATCACTTAGATTACTTGGAAAACGTTATCGTAACGAAATCTCGCTTAAAAATTAGCTTAAAAAGGAATTAAACGTTTCACGCGGTCAAAGACACTTCTTGGAACATTCGAAAACAGACTGTCGAGTATTCCCTTTAGATGGAATCGCTTAATCGCAGTTACAGGTAACTATCAAGGGTAGAAATTGTCTCATGCACGATGAAACGGCAAGAAGGAAAACGAAAGGAGAAACTTGCGATACGATACTCTGAGTCTGCGTATGCCAGCTCTGGTAATCAGTTGACAGTCGTAAAGCTCGATACGCTCGAGATTATGGCAGGCCTGTAGAAGATGATCGAGGCTAGCATCCGTGATGAGGGGGCAATTGTCCAATTCCAATACCGCTAGATGTTCCGCTGCACACGGAGAAAGGGCCAACTGTCGGATGCCTTCGTCGGTGATCAGTTCACAGTGAGATAGACTCTGCGTTCAAGAAGTTAACGCAATTCGGCAAACGAACTCTTTGCTTCGAAAAGTATCCCCTTTGTCCGATATCTCTTTCAAATCTACGATCGTTTAAATTTCCTTACCAACTTCTCCAATCTGGGACAACCCATCGCTAAATGAATGAGGGTGGCATCTGTAATTAAAAGGCACTCTTCTAGGTCCATCTTCTCGAGTAGTCTGCAATTCTGAAAGTGGAAGGGAACGCGTTGGTCAGATATCATTTACACGTTTTGGATCACGACAAATCAGTCGATGATAAACTTACTTTCGCGAGAGCCTGGAAGCCCGCATCGGTGAAATGAGTGCATGCGACGCATTCGAGCACGCTAAGGAGTGGACAGTGTTGCGCCAGCGTGACCAAAGACGCGTCCGTTAGATTGGGACAATTCGACAGACAAACGTAATGCAATCGTGGACATTGTTCGCTGAGTTCCCTAACTGCATCGTCCGTTATGTTCTGCAACAAATCCGTTCTCATAAGCCACTTTGACAAACGTTTCGAGATAAGGAACGGTTTCGAATGATCGTAAGATTTAGCGTCGAACGAAGACAAAAGAGTTGGACGAACATTTTATACAGGTGAAACGCAATCACGTCGGTCGTGACGTAATATCGCGTAACGTCGTTTGACGTTCCTTACGACGCTCAACCCGTGATCTTTGCATACGTACGATTGCCCGAATCGTTCGATCACGACTCGGTGAATCGAGAGTTTCGCGTAACGGAATTGAAAAGCATCTAGAAAATATTCGGGCAATCGGAACGTTTGGCCGCTCTCGTTAAATCGCACGAGCAATTACCCTGCATTCGTGTAAATTGATCGCCTCCAAACTGGTACAGTAACGGGCCAGACATTTGACAGCCCTGTCTGTTAACTGACGGCAGCCTTTGCATAGAAAACTACGGAGTTCCGGGCAACCTCTCGTCAACGCTTCGACTCCGTTGTCGGTAAGTAACTCGCACCAGGACAGGTTGATGTGAGTGAGAAGCGGACAGCCGTCAGAGAGATCCTTCAGGGAAATGTCCGTTATCTCGGGACACGAGTCCAAGTTCAGTCGTTGAAGTTTCGGACAGTGACTGCTTAGGGCAGCGCAGGTAGCGTCCGAGATCTTTTTGCACTGGCTCAGGTTCAGTTCTTCGATGTTGGGGCACGACTGAGCCAACGTGCACATCGAATTGTTCCCGATACTTTGGCATCCCCTCAGAGACAGCTGTCGTAGAAAGCCTCCGCATCGTTTCGATATATTTTCTATAACTGGTCCCTGCATTTCGAATATTTCAATTAGTTTTCGAACATTCAACGATTCTCAAAGATTACTTTCTATAGTATACGATCGACTCACGTTGCTTACCACCTAAAATCTCTGTTCGCGAAGCTCGGTAAAATTCGACTCTACGTGGATGAGCTTCGATAGCCTTTAAGCCGAGTAAAGAGAAGGACGTTTCGATAACGCCGTTGGGATCCTTTAACATCGTTGAAATTTAAGGGTGGTAAGCAACGCGTCGGTGGTTCGATTTACCTCGACGTCTCGCTGGAAATCGAAGAGATCGATCCTCTGCCAGTTGGATCCATCGAGTGCCAACACGTTCCAGGCTTTGCTTACTTGCGCGCACCGACATAGCGAAACTACGTCGAGATACGAGAGAATTCTGCCAATAGTACAATTACGTTACACGTATTCCCGATTTGGTTCTTCGAAAAATTCTCGTGGTAGCGTTAAAGGGGGGAAAGAAACTAAACCAAGGGGGAAATATCAAATGACAAAAAAAAGAAAAAAAAGAAAAAAAAAGAAAGAAAAAGAGAAGATATTAGAATCGAATTAAGGGTGGAATGTCAATTAAGGGTGGAATCTCGAATTAAGCAAAGTTGATCGACGTAAAGACCGATGTTAAAAGAAGTAAAACAGGTGTGTACGTATTACGATACCTAAGCAGCAGTTCTTTTGGCAGTTTCTTATTAATCTGTGCCTCGTCGTCATGAAACACCCATGTTAGCTGAAACCAAAAAAAAAAAAAAAAATGAAAAGAAACAGACCGGAATGAATTCGGCTGGAAGATAACACACAGTGATCGGTTTGATCGTAGATCTAACGAAAGATACGTGCGCATCAGGCAAGCCGTCGAGTTCGCGTTAAAAAGAACACGAGTTCGGTGTTCGAAGGACAGGGAGTATTTAGCCGATGATAACGCGAAGCGAGAACAAAGTTGCATGCGTGACATTACAAGTTGACCAACCTGCATGTAAGACTGCTTCATGGTCGTGACAGGGTTGTTGTGAGTATGCGATTGCGACGTGTAATAACTGGCCTGATGATGATAATGGTGATGATGTTGGTGATGATGATGATGATGATGATACGATGGACGCTGTTGCCTCCACCATTGACCGCTTGCACCGGAATCCTCAACCGCTTGTACCCCTTGCCCGACCTGGCCCCCTCCTCCCACGCCCACGCGACTTACTTTTTTCTAAAACAGCGATCATCATCATCGGTCACGAGAGTTCTATACCTGTCACGGCAATCGTCATCGATCCTATTCGAATCTGCCACCGCGAATCACGCCTCTTCCAATTATCCAATTTTATTCCGTCGCTTTTCACGCTTTCCTCGTCGCAAATCTTGCGCGGCTCGAAACTACGCTGGAGATTAATTTCTATCAACAGTTACTCGTTCGTGGAAGTCGAGTACGAATCGGAGCAGTGCATTGAACCGTCGGTCGATCGATTTCCTCGGTATAGTTAATAAATAGTTAATCGCACAGAAGCGCAAGTCGAAAATGATGCTTCTATTTGGCCTTTTAAACGGACACGTGAAAAGACGGAACGCGTGCGACGAGACCGATACCGCGATCCGCTTGCCGATCTTTCTATAAATATCTTACTCCGCGTAGTTCCCAAATTTCCTGCACGAATCGGATTCGCGAGGTTGGGGATGTAATTAAAAATACGTAGTAACGGCCTAGTATCGAGTATCTCTGGCAGCTTTCTCGTCCCCTCCGCGTTGTGAAAATCTAGATGGATTCGCGAAAACGCACTCGAGATCTACGTCGAAGAGGCCACGCGGCACTCGTCGTCGATGGCATTTAAAAAGAGTTAGAAACAGGCGAGTGCTGTTTCGCAAAACGGTCCCAGCGATCGTAGCGCCGCACGGTGAACGATTTTCGAAGTAGCGGTAAACTGGCGCGGTTTTCGGGGAAAATAGAACGCGAGAGTTTCGAAGCGATAAAAAGGTATAGCACGATCATATAGGCTCGGAAGCTGGAACGAAAACGGAAATCGTATAAGGGACGATAGAAAGATATGGAACCATGCCGGTTTAATATTCCGTATTTCGATCTGTTGCCTTCGCGTCAGTTCCGACAAACGTCGCGCAACAACGCGTACTCTTTAAAGTCCGATCACCTATCGCGTTGCACCTGCATATGACCTTCGGTGACCTTGCGATGTAGGTCACTGAACTCGTCTTGGCATTCCGCGTAAGTAGACTTTAACGCTTACTTTTACAAGCTCACCTTTAACCGTTGTTCGTTTTTCCACGCGATTCGTTGCCGACCACTATTCCACTCACGCGCTCGCGAAACTCTAAGGTAAAGCCCAATCGATCTCCGCGTGGAAATACGATCTGTCGCGCGATCGATGCTCACGGCGCAAAGGCATTCGCGGATACAGCTGTCCGACGAATCCCTCCTCCGAATTCGTTTTCTCGTTAAGAAACACGTTGCGTAAGCTGATACCAGCGTCGTATCGATTATCGCGGTGTTTACATGCACGATCGCATTGTTCTTTCTGCGGCATCTCGCTACGTATCTCTCTTCGACGAAGCGAACTAATCGTCGCGTCTCGACGTCTCTTCCCGTTTTCAGGCAAGAAAACGCGAGGAAAAGGCGCACGATCGCACAGTTCGATCAACTTTCGACGCAATTAGCGGGATCCAAGGGCGACGAATGACGCGTAATAAAAATGCGATTTTACTAACAGCGTCGAGGAGTTTTTGTCAGTTACGTAAGAGGGTATCGAAGCACTGATTCGATTTTTGAGAGAAACGACACCGGGCAAACGTTGCTCCCGTGTTAACGTCTTTCCCTCGTTCGCGACGCGTGTCGGTGACGAGATCGACCAGCAATACCTGCCGGCGTGCACGTAGCGAGGTTTGAAATCGAACGCGATAAGCGTATACATCCGATTTCCTTGAATTCGCGTGCAGTGTTTCGAGTAAAGACGAAACGTCTAACCGTTGGTTGGAAGAAGAGAAAAGATAAGGGTATCGCGAGGAAACGCAGGTAAAGAGACCTGCCTGATCGGCAACGCGCGCCGTTTCTATTTACACGCGAGCGACGTTGATCGGCCAGTTTCCCTCCAAATCTGCAAGGCTGCGACGCGTTGTTGCAAGAATGGAAGAGCAACGCGTGGCGAGCACGTTTCGCGCGACGAAAGGCTAGCGATAAGACGGAGAACGCCGAAGACGACGTGGATACTCGGATTCCTCGATCCGTGAGATTTGGACGCGGAACAAGGATCCGTGCGCATAAAAGCACCCACACAAATGAGACCGCTGTATAGAAGGGAGCAGGAGAGGGAGGGATGACTGGAAAGTGGAGTGGGGAGATAGGGAATGACGAAGACACGAACAGAGACGAGATAGGGGGTGAACGTATTTGAAAAGGAACAGACGGATTTTCGTGACAACTGTTCGACTGTTTAACCAGCGAGGACAACGCTCATCGACATTCTAATAGCGCGTTACGATCGACGAATGAGTAACAGACGTTCGATTTGACCAAGCGAGAGAGACAGATATAGAGAGAAAGAAAGGAAAAGTAGGAGAAAGAGAAAGAAGATGAAGTAAGACAAAAGAAAGAGAAACAGAGTATGAGGGAGATAGGCATAGATAGATTTGTCAAAGTGAGAAAGAAAGAGGGGAGAGAGAGCGAGAGAAAGAGAGAGAGAGAGAGAGAGAGAGAGAGAGAGAGAGAGAGAGAGAGAGAGAGGGAGAGAGGGAGAGAGAGAGAGAGAGAGAGAGAGAGAGAGAGAGAGAGAGAGAAGTACGGACCTCGTTGTCAACGGAGATATTCCTTGAGTTTGCATACGATGCACCCATCAAAGATGGATTAAAGTAACTCACGTTCACTGTTAAAGCAACATTCTTTGAGAACGATATTCGAACTACGTATTTGTCGATGATGATGACGATGACAATGACAATGACGGAACAAAAGCGAAATACAATGCACGAGAGATGGGAACAAAACACTATCCGAATATACCGTTGTCACTGTGATGCACATTCCCGACGACGACGATGATGACGACGGTGACAGCAACGGCGAAGACGGTGACGAAGACGGATTTGAAGACGACGACGAAGACGACGACGACGATGTCAACGACGACGACGACGATGACGATGACGATGACGATGACGATGACGATGACGATGACGATGATGATGACGACGACGATGACGACTACGATGAGCCTACCGAAGGCAAAGACGAAGAAACTGAAAGGGAACGAACCAAGGTACAGAAAGAAAGAAGAACAAAGGATGGAGTTGGCTGGTTGTTGGTTGGTCGATCAGAGAAAAAGAGACGGTAAACGAGAGAGGGAGAAAGAGACAGAGATAGAGAAAGAAAGAGCGCGCGGTGATAGAGAGGCAAACAGAAGGAAGGAGAGCGAGAAGGAGATATACGCGAAATGGTAGCGATCAAAAAGTAAGAAGACTTTAACTGTTCGCGAACGATGCATCGTCGAAACGTGTTCACCGTCAGTTTTCGTTGCTTGTCGTCACGGCAGGAGGCCGAGAAACGAGCGAGAAAACGGTGCCAAGCATTACGGTGGCCAGGGGAGCGGATCAGCTGTTCGCCTCGGCAATGACAACATTGGACACACGCACGACCCCCCCGTAGTGACTTTGACGCGCGTTTCACATTCAGCCCGTTTACTGTCAGACGATGCATTGACTTACCTCGAGCCTGGTGCGCCCGGAGTGTATCATCCTTTTGCGTCGCGTTATTTTGCAAAGCTTACGGGAATACCCGCACGATTTTACAGAAAAAAAATGTTACGGCCAAGCGAGTTGCTACGCTTCGCGAGAGAAATGGCCGAGTCTACTGAATATGAGCCGTGCCGCCGTCACTGGTGGGGGGAAAGGACGACCGATGCATTTTCCCCTGGATCGAAATTAACACTGTCTCATTGGCTGTTCTGACCCGACTTGGCGACAACGCCGCCAATCCCATGCTCTCCAACCATTGTTTACACGCTTCTTATTGGATCGTTATTTTTGAAGGAACGCGACGAAGACATGCACTACCGACGCAACGATGCCAGAGACACTGGCATCGCATTCCCGAAACGCGTCTCGTTCGTGCAACTATATGATCGACCGTAATTCACCATCGACTATCGTTTTTATCGACAGTCGGTAACGTCAACCAGGAAGCTTTTCATGTTTCTCCTCGGGTATCTTTGGGAAACGCAAGGATTATGCCACTCCGGTAATCGTCTGTTGTATCGGTAAATTCGCGTTATCGCGGTTACACACGGCGCGCGTATTTCGAACAGATAAAAATTCGCGACACTTGTGCAGCTTATTTTCTTATCGCTCTTTCTTAAAAGCTTCGTATTCCACTGTCGAAAATTACGCAAAACAAAGTAAAATGGTGCCTGTCAGCATTATCACGACACGCGACGATTTATAATAAAAATTACGCGAAAAGCATACAACGAATAACGATTCTTTTCTTTTTCGTAGTTTGTTTTCGCGTTTTAAACGGTAAAAATATCCTACAATCGTATCGCGTAATGGCTAAAGAATTTCAGATATACTTGAGTTAATTCTTTATCGATACGTTTATCGATATAAACCCAACAGAAGTGCTCTATTTTCTTATAGATAAATAGGAAATATGTGTAGCACACACACACATACACACACACATATATATACATATACACACGTATATATATTATAAATACGTGTAGTTCGTTATTAGGGACTTCCTCTCAAAAGCTTTGCGAGATATTCATATTTTTGTCGAATTTTCATGTGAAAGCTCTTGTGAGTTGTTAAAATGATACGATGTATACGAATAATCGTGGAAACGTTTGCTACATACATCAGGAGTGGTCGTATACGTAGACGTAACAGATGCACAAGTATGATAGAAGATGTAATGCAGCGAAGTATAAGTTCTACAGCGTATATAAAAGTGGTGGAAATCGGTGCTATGTCGTCGAATTTACTTAATAAACTAAATGTTCAATGTCACGACAATTACATCATAAAGGTATATCAAATGATGATAATCAGTTAAGTCCAAAGTATAAGGCACAATAAATTTGGTGCAAGATATCTCGATAATAATTCGATAAGACTTTACACCTATAAAAGTCAATCCAAATCCTCTAAATTTGTCAGTACTTCGTAAATAAGCTGTAACAGAGAAGTCTATTACATTGGGGAAGTAATAATTATATTTCTAGCAATGAGGGGTAAGTAATAGATAGTGTATCACATATACTACATATAGTATATAGGTATATAATAGGTCACGATAGTACGTGACTATTCGCTGTGGAAATGAAGGACAAAGATGAAAGAAAATAGACAGGGAACTATTTTGATCGTAACGAAACGACACGAACGTTTACCAGCAAAGAGTATTCATCCCTTTCTTTTCTCTCTATTTTAGAAACGTCGCTGTCACTCGCTGTCACTTTAGCGACGATAGCACTAGTTGGTGGAGTATCCCTCGAAACATACCAAAATCCAGCTGTATGCCCAGATAGATTGAACGGTACAACCGTATACATCGCTCATGAAACCGATTGTACCAAGTATTACAAGTGCACTTATGATAGGAAAGTTTTGTTGGAATGTGCATCATATTCACCGGGGCAATTGCTGCATTTTGACCCTGTAAGACAAGTATGCAGCTGGCCATGGAGCACGACCTGTATATCAAAATCACCCGACTGTTCCCAAAATGGTTACCGAGAATCCTATCCATACGATTGCAGCAAGTACTACGAATGCCATAACGGCTGGAGGAGTTTGAAACAGTGCGAGGTTGGTCAACTATTTGACGGTGTAAAGAGGACATGTACGCCTGAGGAAAGTACGACGTGCAAGCTTTACAAGGACACGTGTCCCACGGAAAAATTGCTCGTGTCTGTATATTTATCGCACGAATGCTCCTGCAACGCTTACTACGAATGCGAGGATGGAGAGTACATTGAGAGGTGGTGCCCTTATGGCAAAGCTTTCGACATTAATCTCAGGACATGCATCACATCCGGAAAGGCGGTATGTGATCCCAAATCGGGTGACAAACCGTATCCAACCGTCGAGTGCCCTGCAACCGGTACTATAGACATTCCTCATGAGACGGACTGCAGTTTATATTACGAATGCGTAAACGGTGTGAAAAACGAGAAAGCATGCAAAGATGGATTGTCTTTCGACGCGGTAAAAGGTATGTGCACGTGGCCATTGAGTAGCGATTGCTCGTCGAAATCCCTCGATACGACGCAATTGCCTGCGCCCTATCTGCTTGATGCAAATGAAGAAATCGCCCCTAGAAATGACGATTTTAAATGTCCTTTGGAGCAATCGAACAAAGTTACCCGTTTTCCACATCACTGTTCTGCCAGCAAGTTTTACGCTTGCGAACAGGGACGTATGTACCTTAATACGTGTCCTGATGGTCTGGTATACGATTACATTAGACAAACCTGCGCTGATCCAACCAGTGCTACATTCGACAATCAGGAGGTTTCTACTCTTCTAAACAAGAAAGCTGCTTATTTAGAAGAATGCCCACAAAATGGTCGTGTACTCATACCACACGAAACAAACTGTTCGCTTTATTACGTCTGTGCCAACGGTAACAGATCTCTTGCCCATTCTTGCTATTCAGGGCATTACTTCAACCCAGAGATCAGCTCGTGCGATTTACCCGAGAATACGAAGTGTCATATATCGCCACTAACTACTTCATCTACAACTACGATAACTTCGCCAACCTGGTGTTCTGTATCTGACACGAAATGCAGGTTGTATCCCGATTCCTGTAATTGCAATATGTACAGTCAGTGCGAGGATGACAGAATAGTAACGAAGGTATGCCCAGGACAGCTTTACTTCGACGACACGTTACAGACATGCAACTTACCGCAAAACGTGAATTGCCAACTTAACTGCACTAATATGTGCACAGAGGGAGAACTTTCACCTCACGAATGTCAATGCCAGAAGTATTATAAATGCCACGATGGAAAGCAATATCTCGAAATTTGTGACCCAGGGATGACCTTCGATTCGGTAACAAGGCATTGTGTCAACGAATCGGAAAATCATCACTGCTACCCTGATGTACCCGACAGAGACTGTCTCGGTACATGTCCGTCAACAGGCATAGATTATTTGCCACATACAGATTGTAAGAAGTATTGTATATGCGATAATGGAGAAACTGAAGTTGAAGAATGTAATGGCTGGTGGATTTACAATCCGGATACGAAGCAATGCGATTGGCCGGAGAATATACGGAACTTAACGTGTGACCCTTTCCCGTGCACGGCTGGTGGTGATGCAACTACGATCCCTCATGAATGTGAATGTAACTTGTACTACGAATGCGTCAATAGTACGAAGCACCGTGAACACTGTGACGAAGGAATGTTCTATGATTATGTCAAACAAATCTGCGTTACAACAGATCCTCATTGCTATCAGGACAAAGAAAACGACGATGCTAAGCATTGCAAGGAAACTTGCAAAACTATGCACGACTCCACGTCAATTACAATTCACGAAGATTGTACAAAATATTGCAAATGCATGGATGGAAACCGACATGTTTATACGTGTCCCGAAGATCAGTACTTCGACCAAGAGAGGGGAATATGCGATTGGTATGAAAACATAAGAAATTTATCGTGCGACCCTTACGACTGTGGACCTAAAGATGTTAAAGTAATACCTCATGAATGCAACTGTACCATATATTATCAATGCGATGGTACCGAAAAAATTCGTTCTACTTGTGACGATGGATATTATTATGATTACGTTCTCAGAGCATGTGCCAAAGTGGACGCCCATTGTATGAGACAATACTCAAATGAGGTAGACAAATGTATCGGTACCTGCCCGATAGAGAATTCCAAACCTTCCGTGCATTTACCTCACGAAGACTGCACAAAGTATTGCGTATGTTCATTAGGACGTCCTTATCTAGTCGAATGTTCAGACGGTCTCCATTACAACAAAGTAGAACAGATCTGTACATTACCAGAAACTGCTCACTGCGAAGTAACACAAAATACGGAAAACGCGTCTGTTTGGTCAGGTTTTTCATTTGCCGATAAATTTAACCTCGGGTAAATTATTCGCTATATCATTTTTCAGTATCTCTCAATTCTAGCCTATCGAACGACAAGAGAAAAATGTAGAAATATAGTTATTTAACATTTGTAATTTATCTATCATTCGAAATATCCGAATTTTACAGAATTCTTTAATATATTTACAAGTAATATAAATGTATAATTCAATTTTGAGATATATGTTTTTATTTATAATGTAAATTAATAATAAAATATTTAAAATATTTAAATTAACGTGCTACTAAATAATCTAATTATATTATTTTCTACTATTGTATATAATACACGTGTATACTACTCTCAGCTAATCTATTATTACGTCGATATGCAAAAATATGTATCGCAATATAAATTTCCCTATAATTTGATAATCCTGCTTTTGTTTCACCATCTACCCGTTGAAAGTAAATTCATTTGTAACATTTCAAAAGTCTGTAACTTTATACAACTCTACTATCAAAAGTATAGGCCGTATCGCTACAGATGGAACACGAATTGATAAAGGTAACGATGCCGAAATACATAAACACGATAATCAGCCCGATTACAGGAAACTGATTTTAAACTAGCGATTACAACTCTGTCATAACGAGATAATTTTCGTTTTAAAGTAACATTTTTTTTTTGCGATAGTTGTCGTAGAAAATAAAAGATTCGTGGTTTCATCGATTGAGAACCGGACTAGACCGTCATGGCATCAGATATTCCTATTCGAGTTGTGGCAGATTTTTGGCATATCGGGGTTTTATCGAGTCTCGTAAGTGAAAGTCAAATTATGCTATTATGCTAAACTATTAACCCTTTGCACTCGACGACTTTTCGCTAGAGAAGAGTAGAAATTCAAAGATTCTTTACTAAAAAGCTGACGATACCTTTTTGAGCAGTAAATAAAAAATTATATCGATCTTGCAAATTTTATGAAATAGTGACTGAAGCTCACCTCTCGAGTGCAAAGGGTTAACGCAAAAATAAGGTCGGAGCAAAATTGTTCCTCCGTAAAGTTATTGGAAATACAGGATGAACATTTCTGTTCCTTGACCGACATTTTCATTCGATATCAGTTACGAAATATCTCGTATAAACTCGGTTTAACTTGCCTGATAGATATTTCACTTCTTTCGTCGATTAGTTTTCGTCAATTTCATTATGTGTCGTTAACGTAAGATGCGCGAGAAAAATAACGTTTAACTGCAACATATTCGTAAATGTTAAACCGTAAAAGCTATTTTTACTGGGACGAATTTAACGTCATTCGAAGACATAGCATTAGGGCAGATCGGGGTTGGTTGACCCGTAGTGTTGATAATTTTTCCAATTGTTAATAATTTTGCACAGTCATGTGCTCTATCTTAAGAGGATTTACCATTTGTCATTTTCATTATACTATTTTCTTATTAACGACATCGTGCACACGTTGTTTGAAAGTTATTAACGTTTATAAATAATCATAATAGATGCGCAGGGAGTGAATTTAAAAATTTGTTTCTCAGACGACTCGTTGAAACTCTTTTTCCCCATACACAAATCAGTTGTGGTTAATTATAGAACGTTAAAGTCAAATTGATCTACCGCGGAGTATGATTTCATATGGTTGGCTAATAATGTTCGGGGGTTACACGATTAGTTTATGGAAAGAAAGTACTGAGTACTCTCGTGAGAAATCGACAAATAAATTAGTCTTAACGATTGAATTTTTACTATTTTACACCGTAGATCATGGAACAATCTTACTTACCTACGAAATTTATGTATTATTAATAAATTTATGTAATATTTAAGAATGTGTTTTCCAACACATCTCTTATTTGATGGCGATTAAAATAAACAAGAAAATGAAATGCAATTTGTATCATCTTGTAACAACGAACATTATTAAACTGTTCGTATATTACAATTTATTATTGCAAATATAACGTATCAATTCTTCGCTTGTAACTTATGGCATAGTTAAACTCATTTTTGACATATAAATAGAAATAATATATTATAATTTTTTCCGACACATCCTATTACGTCGTGTTAATGTAACTATTTGCTTAAGGAAATCAAATGTCAAATGTAAAGGAAATGAAAGAATGTTAAACAAATATAGTATCGGTAACTAATTCTAAAATAAACAGAATGTAAGTACGGGTGGGGATAAGATAAATAGTATGTTAATGATAAGATTTAATCGGCTATAAAAATCGGTTCGTGTGAATGAAAAGCATCTGTAGCTGTCAGACAAGCGACAGTAACGATTATTCCTTTGGAACGAATCAAACATGTATTCGTACGTTAGGATGAACGGTAAGTGATTGGAAATTTTTAAATAATTTCTCATAAGTGCATAGATTTTACAAACGAAATAGTGATATATATTATTGTGCTAAGTGATAACAGAAAGATATAAAGTTGTATCTCTGAAATAAGACTGTACACGAGGTATAATGCTATACGATCACAAGATCAATTTAGTTTTACCTAATGCAAATTTCAATTAAAAATATACGTTTAAGATCGATGTCGATAAGTCGCAATTACGTTGCTTTTCTTTTCTGTGTGAATTTCAGGCTTATATCTGCTGTTCGTTTTCGTCACAATAGTAACGGCGAATACTGAACCAGAATGTGTCGATCATCCAGGCTGTCCAGTTCCAAATGGCAATGAGACAGTTCACCTTCCTTATGAGAAGGATTGTCACAAATTTTATAAATGTAATAATGGACAGGGATGTATACTATCTTGCCCGGAATACGGTAACGGGAAGCAGCTAGCCTTCAATCCGGACACCCAAACCTGTGACTGGCCGTTTAATGTACCCTCTTGCACTGGCTCAACGGGAACAACAACGCCGGGAACAACAACGCCGGGAACAACAACAACGCCGGGGACACCACAGCCTGATACATCGGAATGTCCAAAAAGTGGCAAAAAGAACATAAGGGATCCAAGCGACTGTCGTTACTATTTCGAATGTGACGATGGAGTACAAACGCGTCGGAAGTGTTACACGAATACCGTGTTTAATCCCAGTATTGGGTCGTGTGACAGCGCGGATAATGTAGTATGTCCTTCAACCTGATTCCTGTGTTCCTTTTGTTTAACATAAAGGAAAGGATATTCGTTTTAATGTAACTGTACTACTGACACCTGTCCAAATAATGTATCATATTACATCTTTTATGAAAATACATATTTTTAACCTAATTCGATATTTTATGTGATCCCTGTACACGCTTACTTACGTTATAATTACTTGACTAATTAAATATAATTAGAAATAGAACATTAAAAAATCCAAATGTATCAGACGAAATATTATTTATTTTGAATTAAAACCTCTCGTTTCGCACAAATTTCAATGAAACGATTAGGTGATGTTTCAAGTTTAGCTGTAGTTTCGGTTCCAAGAGGCACTCTTTATTTCCAATGAGAGATTGAAATGAATTTCTTTAGAAAAGAATATGATTTTCATTGATGGTAACAAGCAATAACACAAGTAATTTAAACAGAGCAAATGGTAAACAATCAAATGACAATGAGATGTATAAGTTATAAACAGGGTAAGACACGTAAACTGCTTTATTGCACATCATCATAGTATCGATGAACCATGGCTTGACTAGGTGAAATATAAATCCGTGGATTATCCTTTCTGGCGCCATAGCCTTCGAGTTCACCAAGGAATCGACGTTCATCTTGCATCCTTTCTTCAAACTTTTGTTGCTGCGATCTTCGAATATCCTCCGGGCTTGTTTTTATCGTATCCCATACGTAATCAATGCTTGGCACAGAAGACAGAGCGTTTCCCCTTTTTCCATACCTATTCGTGTATTAGGTCATTTATAATGACAACGTAATGATTTCGTTAGATCGCGTGTAAATAAATACGTTCATAAATAAACAGCTAATTATACTATTTCTGACGAAATTCGAGTTCTTACAACAGTTGTTTAGCATTCTGATCTATGAATTTACATGAAAATTCGTTCGCCAATTATTTGCGCATTTGAACGTTTCATGGCATTATATTAACCTTTTGCACTCGAGAGGTGAACTTCAGTCACCATTTCATAAAATTTGCAAGATCGATATTAATTAATATATCAAAAATGTAATGTAACAGTGTGCGAGGTATCGAAATCAAATAATTCTACAATTCTGTTATTATATAATTCTTTATTTACTGCTCAAAAAAGTATCGTCAGTTTTTTAGTAGAGAATCTTTGAATTTCTACTCTTCTCTAGCGAAAAAATCCTCGAGTGCAAAGGGTTGAAGTACCAGGCAATATATTAAAGTACATCGTTACCTCTGCTCTTCCGCTATACAAATAGTAACAATTATCGAGGAATTTTTTTAAGTCTTCCGAAATGGCAGATGTCTCTGAACGAACTGGTCTAGCCATCGGTTCTGATTCGCCATGAACAATGACCGTTCCAAGAATCAAAAGGATGAGAAACAAGCGGTAGGTATCCGAACACGATTGCATTCTTGTCATCGAAAGTCACCAGTTGTTTACTGTAAAAAAGAAATTTCGAAATTTTTCTAAATATCTACAACAGACCCGTTATACTTGATACATTTGTTATATTCATTCGATGAACGATATAATTCAACATACAATATATAATCAATGTACAATATAATTCAACGAATGAGTACGTGACATGATTAGCTAGACCTTATTCAATATTTGTATATCGATAAAAATTTATATATCTGTACTACTTCTTTTCGTTTTATAATTATTAACTACTGTTTGTACAACTGTTTGAACATGTGTTAATTTCGTTTGCATTTTGTTCGATGTTTCGCCGAATATTTCATTGACATAACTCAAATATCATTGACGAACATCTGAATAACTACGAATAGTATCCAAAGAGTTAGGATATTTACACTAAACTCGATTAAATTACTCGTGTAATATTTACACGTGAGTTAATTTCTCATATTTCTGGTCGAAACAGATTTGGCAATTGTATTTACCTGAATCGTAGTTACATCACGATTCAAGGTATCGTTCGATCGCGTTTCTAAAATTACCTGACAGAATAGGTTGCAACGCGTAGATGCACAGTGCGAGTTGTAAAGAAAAAATCCTAAGAGTAATTTCAAATAACCATATACCGATAGACCACATTACGCGAATAGAAATTACGAAGTCGTGTTACCTGTTGCATCGCGCTTGTTTGGTACAACTTCATCGATAACGAAAGCTTTCCGCGGGGAATAGTTGACAGTTTATAGTTGAATATGGAGACGTAGTTGATCGACAGATGAGTTTACTCGATTGGTTGTACGTGATACATTCTTATTTTGTGTATCAGCACGAGAGTGGAGCTTTCGGTAATTCTTCGAAATTCTCGATATTTCGCGAGATTGACGAGCAACTATGGACTAACGCGGTTCCGAAAGAATCACGAGATCCGGGAAAAATTACGACACTAATTTCGTCTCATAAACGTCTATGGACTAAAAGAATTGGACGCATCGTTTGATGCAAATTGCTACCATAAAAGAACGCGTTCGTAAGCTTGATAATCCAGCAACAAAGCTGCTTGCGCAGGAGAACGAATATTCTGTCGGAATTTCATACACTGCGTGCTTCATACTATATCCGTTTATAAATGCATTAACTTTTCGTGCTGCCTTTATGCCGTGCGGCAATTATGTAGATGCGACGAACAATCGAAGGAAGCCGTTAACGCAAAATTGCAAAATGGTAACGATTACGTGGAATATTTCAACTATTAGCGACAGTTCATTTGCATCGATCTGATTGAAAACTGAAGTTGATATTCATGAAAAACAAAATAACACGAATCGGTAATTCTTACTGAATATGTAAAACTGATTGCGATGTCATATGCGTGGATGTAAAGTGCAGACGCGACAAATAATGGGAAATAACTGGTTGTCGAACCGATCACGAAACATGACTTTTACGCATAGTTGCTCGCAACGATTACGAATTAAATCGTGCCAACTGATTCTTACAATTTCGATTCTCGATCCAGATACATTCCGAGCTTCTTAACACTAGATTTACGGATGCTATCTGTATACCTATTTCTACGTATTTGACGCCTGTCAAATTGACAGGTGAAGGAAACCACGTGATTAGTTTAATTTAAAAACATTTTCAATATTAACAGTCTTAATATAAGTTAACTAAATCTGTTTCCATCGTATAATTGGAGCAATCCATCCGTCAAATTGACGGGTTTCATAAATCTGACGCGACGAATTTACATGAAACATTTCGTTATGATCCACAGGAAAGAAAAGTTGCACGGTGTGAAACTAAATCGTATTTCCTTCTATATGGACAGTGATTATGTCATCGATTATCGAGCGACTATCATACGTAAGAAAGAATCGACGTGAAAATATACGAAATGTTGATCACTGATTCAATGTCGAAATAGCGTCGAATTTAAATGATCATGCACGAAGATCTTTATTTTTGCTTCTCAAATTATCCTATTAATTATTTCGCATTACAGGTTCTCTTGATACGAGCAATTGCAATAATCAAGGATACGTAACTGCATTAACGAGATACGAACAAGATACGAACGAGGTACGAGCGAATTTTCGCAATCAATTGCGTACAAGCAGCACTATTTTGAGGAATTTTAAGAACGGAAAAATCGTACCGTGAACACTTAAGTACTCACCACGGATTGGTGGAGAAACGAAGCCGTTGGGACGAAAGTTGGGACGAATTCCTGTATCCTATCGAAATATTCGAGAGCTGAAATCGAATCGGCCGCTCGTACCTCAGGACGGGAGTATATATACCTGGGAACGCACCACCCTCTGGCGCAACCCCTCGGTAACAAACCGTGTATCGCGCAGCCAATCCACAAGATTTAACCCCACCAGTCATTTTCCCCACTATCCTTTCGCGGATCCTTTCCCTTCGATCTCTGTTTTCGCGTATCAGGATTACGCTGAACGATTCGATTTAAGGGATCGATTCGCTTCGAGGAGAAAAATCAGTGGCCATGTCGATTGTTTATTTCTTATTTCTATCATTCGCGAATTCAGTCAAATTGCTTTTCAACGTCATGGAAATATTACGAAGAAAGCTATTCCAACGTATGACATGACAAAAGATTTAACGAAGCTTTTAAATGACGTTTCTTCGTCTATGTCGAGCGATATTTTACAAGAAATATCCTATTCTAGAGGTTCCTCCTTCTTCACGAGCAATAAAGGTGTTGCTTGCAAAAGCGTAATCAGATTGTCTTGTAACGCAGCCTTACCGCGTGAATTTTATGAAACGTTCTTGCAAGGATCAAAGTATACGCAGGATGTAAAAACGGGTATATTACTTTCGCGAATGCTAGCCGGCTGCGACCATAAAAATGATACATATATATTTAGTTACATATGGTTTTTCACGTGGATAGATCCGTTAATGTTTCGTGAATCGATCTACCCCCATCTTTTCGAAAATGCGTGCAATCGCTTGGGTCGAACCGTTTAAGCTTCCACGAAACTACCCTCGCGAGATCTACTTTATATTTAAAGTAAAACGTGATCCGCCCACCATTCTTGTAACTCGAACGGATATCCGAGCTCTCGAAACTTTTAAATCTACGTACCCCCGTGATACACTTGCCTATCTTAAAATCATTAAATCTGAGACAGGATTTCCGAAACTTTGGAATGTCGACAACGATGCAGAAGTTGTACGCGCGAAAAATAGATCGATGTAATATCGGTATAATACTTCACGTACGTGGGCTTGATAGAATCGTGATGGGCATATCGATGGATGCGTTAAATGAGATTGTGGACACGCTCAATGGGAGAACTGTATTAATAAAAGAATAGCCGGCGGATTCCGTGGATTTCAGGATATAAAAGTTGCTCGAAAGATTCTCATTAATTCCGTACATCTGTGTACCTTAGCTTTGCCCCGTCTTCCGACGTATACGAAATCGGCAAGTACTTGTTGATCGTCGATTAAATTTCCAATTCAGTCGGTTAGTAGTATCTGCTGTTCCTTTCATCGATCGATACAATAAAACGCGGTTATAAATAATCGCGAATAATTCCTGTACAACCAGAGATTAAATGACATTGCGATAACTCTTTTTTCGATTCGATTTTACGAATACTGACATATGTTCGTATTTGTCGATCTTAACTGGACAACCCGAATCGATGGTCACAGTATCTCTCAACAGGTTATAACGTCCGTTTAAGTATTCGTGAGAAAATGTCTCTATCAAAAATTCCTGGTAAACCGAAAACAAATCCCTACTTCCCGGATATATGTAATCCGGCAGCTAGACCGATAACGAAGAAGTTTATATAAATTTGGTTCAACTAAACCGTCGTTCTTTATCTTTCGATGAAATTTTATATTTTAGATTTATCGGCAGGCATTATCGTTCGATAGATTTACAATCTTAACCTTCTTCTGCGTATCCTTCGACGATCACCACGTGTTTGTACAATACATTCTTCAACGTAAACAATTTGTAAAATAATATTCGTAATTGATAAATAAACCGATTGACAGAAATTAATTTAAAGCGTTAAATATATATATATATATGGATTTATAGTCGCTAACGGATAGGTATAAAGATTCGCGAGAACTCTGTAATCACCGACGCTTGACAAGTCAGTCGGTCGATCCAACAGGTGAAAGACTTACCTTCTAAAGATAAGTTTCCAACCAGCGGACTGACTCTCCACGAGTAAACGCGTGCGTGAAATTCGACGAAATATTTTCACAACCGTGTCTGAACGAAGTTAACATTCGACACGCGTTGAGGGATTTTAAGCCTGATTAACCGATCAATCGAACGACAATAGGAATCGTTGACTAGAGCTGAACTACTTGCTCGCTACACCGATCGAAGAAACATAACGCTATATCTTCGTTACGTGTTACGCTACTCGAGGTATGAAAGATGTGCAGAACGAGGCAAGTTGGAGATGAGAAAAAAAAAAGGGACCCGAGATCGATATCGGTAAGAAGGAATGGTAAAAAGGGGAAAGGATAATGTCGAAGAAGATGCTACGTCTTTCCCTTGGTGCGTCAACCAACAGGCCCTCGAAAAGAAGAGGCACGAAGGTAGCCATTGGTAGAGAGAGGAGGACAATCGTTGGTTTAGAAGGAGAGAAGCAACGGAGGAGAACGGTCATTGCCACCACCTCACCTCGAGCCGGTGCTAAAGTCCCCAACAGGAGGAATATCCTCGACCCTGGCACGGTCTACAGTGCGGAATTGTCCTGTAGTTTAGCTTGGCTCCGTTCTATCGGTCATGGTGGGGCCTTCACGGACAACGATGCGATGTGCTGGGATTCGTGCATGCGGAGCGCACCCGAGAGCACCTGGATCGGTGATCCAGAAGTCGTGAACTACGCTAAGATCACCGACAAACCAGTTCGATTGGCGCTAGCTGTGCCGAGCAGGTCGAATTTGTCTGTCCCTCTTTCACGAGAGATCCTCATCCGCTCTTGCGGACGAGATCCGCTACGATAGTTTAACAGCCCCGTGTGTTCGACGAGATATCACGGAGAAAAACGTGTCCCATCCGATCTTGCGATCGTTGTTCGACGATAGTCGGTATATCTGCGCGCGAAACAGGAATTCGACGGAACGTGGTTCAATCTTATGTTCGCGGAGGGAATCGCATCTCGACGGGGTTCCGGGTGACTTTTTGTTCGGTGCACGAAGTTCTTAAGCTACTAAAGCATTTCGGGAGGCAGAGAATTCCGAGCTTGCTGGAGGGATGATGCCCCTCAAAGTCTGACAACGGAGTAGCGTTCATCGTCGCAGTCGGTCGCTGTTATCATAAAAGGTAAGCTCATCGTTTTATCTCAAGATATTTCGCGAAGAAACAACGCAGAATGTAGAATTAATGCTTTATATTTTAATCAAGAGAACCGATACCGATAATCTGCCGCCATTGCAGATTATACGTAACGCGTAACATCGATTTTCCATTAAGGACATGCCAAAATATGTATTAACGAATGAAGTGTATTTTGTAATTTACCGTCACGATAAATTTGTAACGCGTTAATTTTATATTACGAATTGCTCGATAATCGAGAATTATTTGTCTGGAAGCTAACCGAAAGAGGAATTTCAGTTCCCATTGCCACGAAATTACCAAAGTCAGCCGTATGTCGTTCACGAATAGCGGTACCATTCATTCCTTTAAGCAGAATTCAAACTTTCACGTACACCGCGATTTTAGTATGAGTGTCATTCTCCCCGTAATATCTTTAAGCCTCGCTTTATATGTAATTCACGAGTATATCGCAAATTAAAAAAGATCGATAAACCCGGTGCCTAGATAATCGTCCATTACGCGGAAAATAATACACGTTTTACGGCCAAAAACAATAATTCCGCACGACAATGATATGGCCAAAAAATTTCGCAACAGCAGATAAAGTAGCCTGAAAAATTGGAATGTGTCGGCTGATAAATTCTACGTTCAACCAACGTTTTCCTTCGAGGTTGAAATATTTTTCATTAAGATAGAGATAGCTCTGTCCGTCAATTAAACCAAGGTATTTACGACCGTACTCTCTTAACGAATTCCGCTTAATGGGATCGCCTTTTCGCTTCCAAATGACTATTTTATTCCATGAACCGTACTTCGGCGCCAACCCACATGTGCGCCTTGTATTAGATACGTGCGTACAAATGAAAGTGGCTTGTACCGTTACAACATACGCACTAGCCTACAACAAAAGCTTTTTATATAGGGACACGCTTGTACACGCGTGCACGTTGTCCGCTTTCGACTTCGAGTTTCTTAATTATGAAAATTTCTCACCGATGCGACAACCCGGTCGAGCATTCGCAATTCAACGGCGAATCGATCCTCGGGAATATATTAAATTAACTTAATTACAGACCACGCGTTAAGGGGATAGCAGACTCGTAGATTTTCTTTTAAACCGGCACGCATGACATCATAAATTGAACGGGCATCTTTGATCGCATCGAATGAAATATCGGGTAAAGATTATTTAATACTCGAAATGATAACTTGTTGCAATCGATCATGATATCTGCTACGGAAAGTCACTTTTTCTTTCTTTTACCAACCTTACAAAAACACCGGCGATTTTCTACCCCTTTTTCTTTACAAAAGTGCTCGCGAGTTCTTGAAAGAGAAAAGGGGAGAAAAAAACAGTCTGTTCCAAATCGAGTCGGCGAAGATAACTGTCGCCTAACTAATCAGAAGCAGGAAACCAGTAACCTGACCATCGACAAGCCAACACAACTCACGTCGACATTTGTTGCTTCATCCACCCGAATTCCTGCCTCTGGGTAACTGTAACGGTTTTTATCACTTCCTCAAAGAGGAGGAGCGAGTGCACACTGGATGAGATCATTGCATTTCTTCGGGCAGCTCGGAAGAAAACGAGAATTACCTGAATTTTAGAACAACGTGAAATTCGAACAAGGAGCTCACCTTATTTTCACAATTATTCCGATATAACACCGATTTAAAGGCCTCTTCATTTTCCTTTTTCCTTTTTTTTTCGTTACGATTATTTTTCTTTCGTTTTATCCCGAGATAAAAAGGCACGAAGATCGCACGACTGTCAGAAAGAAGGAAACATTCTTTTTTCCATCGATCCCACGATACTCTAGCCCACGGTGATCCGTGATTTAACTGGACAGGATATAACGTTACACCCGAATTCTTGCTTCTGAATAACTGTAACTTAGTTCTTGCACGATGAATATCGGGTAACCATGAGTTGACGTGAACGACAGTTGAACATCGTAGAGACAGGCAAAACGAAAGGACACGTGGAAAGTACATGAATATCGGAGAGAAAATGCGAGAATTTATTTCTTCATCTTAATGTTGCTTTCACGTAATATTGTACTCAGGCTGAAAACGAACGTTTGTTCTCATAAGGTCGTTCACTCGAACTTCTTCGTTCCTACGACGTAATTACGGCTGTTAATATTATCTTATATCCTGATATCCTCTTCGACTCGTGATCTAGAAACGTTTACAAGATTTTTATACAGATAATACTTTCGATAAGTTGTGCGGTCACAGCCGGTGGCGAAAATGCGTAAGCTGACAAATTTGAACGAATTTTGATATCCTGATATTGTATATCTAATCTACATAATTTATGAAAGTCATACGTCAATCGCACGCACACGTCACCATTTATTATATCTTTATCCATTAACAACTTTGATCAATTCGTTGTAAAACTTAATACTCGACGTAAAGGATTGGAAATGTAACACTGGTAGAAACATGTTATTATATGATATATAGTACGAGTAGTCGAAAAGTGTAAAACAGCCAGTTGGAAGCAAGATTTCTAGCTTCTTTATTTCATGAGAATTTTCTCAGGTATATCGTAAAAGGAATGGCATTCTCGTTGGCGCGCGAACATGTTAACGTCAGGCGCGAGTTACTTTTTGCATTCGTTTAAAATTCATTTCCTTTTCTCTGTTTTTTTTTCTTTTTCCAGATGTGGGACCGAGAAAGAAAAACTTGGGCCATCCTCTTCCTAGGCAATGTGCTTTTGAATACCGTGATCGCATCCCCGATCTATGTCCCACAATTTATTCCAGGAAGTAAGTCACCTCGAATATCGTGGAATATCGTGGAATATCGTGGAATATCGTGGAATATCGTGGTCCTCGAAATTTGGAAACATGGAAACGAGGCGAAACCCACGTGGAGTATTCGTTTCCAAGATTCAGCGCGAAACTCGTCGAATTCCGCGCTGATCGGAAAATTATTCCTCTGCTGATCGATGAAATGGCGACTTGTTCCTCGCTGTGTAATTCGCGATTTTAATCGGACACGCGAACAGCATCGTTCGGTTACGAACGACGAGCAGAAATTTTCCTCCTCTCTCACGTGCGCGTTGCTTTCTTTCCGCGATTCTTGGATTTCCCTGGAGTGTCAGCTGAATAACGGATCGGTACGCAAATATTCGGCATGGGCAGGGCTAAACCTGTACATATTCTCGAACGTGTTCGAGCACACACGCGTGTGTATACGTACACGTGTCTACTTGTCTGAGTTACAGGACGACATTGAACCTACCTTGGATTCGAGTTCGAACGGAACGTGGGCGGACTGGTCAGTTTTCTATACAAGTGGGTCAGTCCCGGTCATCGGCATGCACACGACTTACACTGATTTTTCCGATCTTGTCATCTTCGTTCTTATCGGTATTCGGATCGCTTCCTTCGAGTCATCCTCGGTTCCCCGAGATGAAATCACGCGCGACAGATCGCCTTATCGACGGATGAAATTCGCCTCGCTGTTCTTTTCCTAATTTCGCCTAACGAGCTTCGATTGTGTACAATTACGTAAGTCGTTCGGATCATTTGCCCCGAAAACTACTCTTTCTGACGCTCGGTGAAATGGTAACATCGCTGTCAGTGAAATTCTTTCAAACGACGACACGAATTCCGCGTGGGCGTGCACGCGCAGCCATATACACACGATATGGCCCCGACTGAAATTCCAACAAGTGCGTAATGAAATCGGTAACTTTCTTTCACGACTGTGACTCAGACGACACTTCCGGTAGCATACATTTTCTACGCGGAAGGACACCGAACACGTAGAACATCTTGAACAAGGAAACTGGCCGACTGACCCGAAAGCAAGGGAGCCGGGTTTGTATATAATTTTACGGTCGATTTTCACTCGCCACGGCCATCAACCTCGACTGTCAGAAAGAAAGTAAATATTCCGAGAAAAAAGCGCTCCCACGATCGATGGCAACGTCGATCCCACAATTTGGATATTCCGATTTCCACGTCAAACTTGGTGCGTCGATCTTGCAGAAATTTAAACTTCGAAGAAAGAGCGGAGAAGTTGTAGGAGAGAATTTGTTTCAAGCAAATGCGATGAAGTTTCTTTGTTATCCCATATCAATTAGCATCGGACGATCCAAGCAAGAAGATATTTACCACTCCATGTCAGCTCTCTTTTAAAAGCAATGTGTCATTAATGCGTTCACTACGGATACTTACCGTTCAGGTATGTCTGCTCTCTTTAGAGATAACTCGGGTCAGGTATGTCGATTTAATCACGATCTGAATCAAAGAACTGTGGAATGTGCGCGAGGATTTCGTTACGTAGCCGGCATCTAAAGATACGAGAAGAAGTCGAGGTTGTGAGGTGTCTTAGAGGAAAACGGGCTGTTACATTAGGCTATGACTGTGACCGACTTTTGGGTCGGGCAACTAGCTCATACATCGAAACGTAACGGTACCAAGATGCTTTGCTTTGCCTGACATCAATTCGTTCTTCGATAACGCCCGCTATATACTATATACATCATCGTTGTTCCGTAATCGATTGGAAATCGTCGAGCAGTCGTCGTTTCGACAATCGAAATCGGCCGTGAAAATCCTCGATTCATGCTTTGATCTTTGTTTCGAAGATGGCGAAAATTTACGAATTAAGTATACCATTGATTGGCAAATGCTTCGAAACGTAGTTAAAGTCGCCATTTTCTAACGTTCCAAGTCACAAAATACCTTTATTCCGTTATCCACAAGTGATATCCTGGAATTTTTCTGCATCGCCTGTCTTTACCCTTTTAATGGATATTTGGATTTCATTAAAATAATTACCTTCTATTGTTCCGTAATAATCGCTCGATAACGGGTGCAATTAGAGACCAGGAACAGCATACAGTGTTCCCGTCGAGAAATTTGCAGGTTCTTTCAACGCCATTATTAATCGATTATCCCACTCAGTGTCGTTTATTATCTGCGACAGGATCACAGTTGCACACAGTAGGACGATTAAGGGGAATTATAAATGACGACGATTCTTGCTTGAAGTATTACACAGTGAATGTAGAACGCGTACAGCGAATGCACAGTTATGGGTACCGAGGGAAGGTTAACGTAAACTCGATTAGAGAACGTAGAACACGGATGTTGATATTTTCTCTCAAAAACGAAACGATCTCCTCGATTCGGCATCCGACGACGATGCTTCGTTGAAAAATGTTTAACGATGAAACGATATTTAACGTTCCAAGAATCAGACGTGACATTCGGGTACATTCGCGATTTATTCGAATGTTTCTGCTTTCCGCAGGTACGGGAAGAAACATCAGGCACTTGCCCTGCGTGTCTCGAAGAACCGGCGAGACCGGAGTTTGTATGTTCGCGTTCACGTGTGCAAAGGCAAATGGCACGCATCTCGGCACCTGCATCGATCGCTTCTACTTTGGTAGTTGCTGCAAGATAGACGAAGAACCTGACATTTTTCCACAAGACAATAGCATCGACGATGGGCCGCCAGCAAGGCCGTTCGTCACGACTCATGGGCCTATCGAGAGTAACGACATACCCGAGTACTTCTCAAGGCCGAAGCCAATCAACGAGAAAAAACCATCTGAAACGTACTCCACCGAGGTAAGACGCAATAGTTACGACTTCGAATTTTGGTCCCATTCTCGAGATTGTTTCCGTAAAAATACTGCTACAGGATTAGCATGCAGGTTCCTTCGGAATACGCTTTTCTCGGATAAGCTATACGCGACGTTTCAGTCGATAAAACCGTTCGATAAAATAATCGAAATCTTCTTCCTTGTAATTACTTAGGAAACGACCAGTTCGTACACTACTCAGAGTATTCGCACGCAAGCAACCACCATAAAAGAAACGACAAAACTCGTAACGAAGAAGCCAGTACCGACGACCATCGAAACAACCACGCAACCGGTTCGATTATCGACCTTTCAAACCGTGCAGAACTCATCCAAGGAGGATTCGACAACAAAAAATCCGCCAGGAATCACGACCGGTGCTGTACAAACGTCGCAAAAACCGTCCAGCACGATAATGGAAATCACGAGCACCGCGAATAAATCTTCCACGTCGAGCTTATCGGTCGCTAATAGGCCAACAACATTGGAAATTGTGACAAGACCGTCATACACCACGCAATCGGTCCCTCAAACGACTAAACCGATTACCAAAAAGCCGATTCATTCGTCCACGACTCACAAACCAACGCATTATTCCTCGACGCATAAACCGATCCACTCGACGGTTCATAGGCCTACGGATATAACAACCACGCCCAAACCTCTGCAATTCACTACCGATCGAACAAGCGAGACAACAACGTCGAAAACTGTAATTACAACTACCCAGAGGGTTACTCCGATCACAAGATTTCCACCAAGAAATGCAACAACTGCGAGACCCGTAGCTCACGCGACTACCACCACTAGGAAGCCTATTACGAGTACCAAGAAACCAGTAACGAGTACCAGTACAAGAAGACCGACGATTACCACGAAGAAACCGAGTACGCCCGCAAAGAGGCCTACCACTGCCTCGAAACCGTCTGTAACCTCCAGTTTTGGCACTTCGCCGTCGACGACGACAACGAAACCCATTCTGACATCTGTCAAACATCAGCCAACCATCGCGACCTCTACCGAGAGCATTCCTCTCTCGACAGAGGCAAAACCTGCCTCGATCTCCAGCACGGAAGCAGTGGTTGCTCAAAAATTCACAACCATCGCCACGACGAAACCCAGCCAGAAAATTAAACCTACGACGATTCGAACCACCTCGAAACCACCGACCACTGTGCCGAGGCCAAAACCACCGAAGATCAACGCGACAACCTCTAATCTGGTACTCAAGCCAGAATATACAACGACCACCGAAAAAACGGGACTTTTGACGTCGATCAATGTTTCTACCGTTGTTGTTACGAAACCTAGGCCAACGGTAGAGTCGACGAGTCCTACGAAGCCATTGAGCAAGCCTACCGGAAAGCCTTCTTCGACGACACTCGCGACTATACTCAGTTCCACCGTAACGGATACCAGTTTTGTGACTTTATCCTCTACCGATACACCTACCGCTACCTTGGCGTATGTTCCCTCGACGAAGGTACCGGTGATCAACCAAACCCTCGAAGATATCTCTCACACGACTTACTCGCCTGGACTCGTCACGTGGACATCGAGTTCCGATGATACGACTACGAAGACTCCGGAAATATCGTCGACGACAATCACGCAGCTCGGTGAGTTAATAACTAACGAACGTTTCACCTAACGATTATAATAAATTGAATTATTTATCGATAACGGTACCGGCCAGGATACGCATGCGTAATTCAATACGCGGATTCAATTAAGCTACGTATGATGTAATTGCGTAATCTAAATTTTATATAATTGGTAATTAACCAAATGTTTGTTGCTGGTACATGCGATTAGTTTAAACGCGGCTGACGAGACATTTGCATTATCCATTCGCATGCTGAACGAAAACTGTTCCCGGTGCGCGGTGAAATCGAAGAAAACGGACATCAATTGTATAACGTGACGCTCTTGTCGTCAGTAGGAAATCATCTTGGTGGCAATTCACGTCGAGCCGCACGCCTCTTGCATTAACTAGCATTAAGGGAATCGCGAGAGCTTCGTGAATTTGATCGATAACCGATCTCGCTATTTATGCTTCCATTATCGGTATATTTTCAGCTGACATATTTGCAAAAAAAATGTCAAAACACGATAATCTTCCGAAATTGAAAATAATTATCGGATACTGAATATGCGATTTTCGTGATCGATTATTGCAATTCGTTGAGCAATTCCTAGAAAAAGCTTTCCGCATCGGTAATAAATTTCGTTGCTTTAATCGCAAAATGTCTAACGAGATATGATATATCTCGTAATTATAGTTCAATGTTGCAGCGGCAATTTTCGTGCATAACACTTGCTGCGCCGGTATTACCGCTTACCAAACGTGCATTGCTCGCTGTCTCACCTCGCGGTGGGTAAATGCACAGCAGACGCAGGTGAAAGAAACTCGTAAAATAGAATTTCTCTACGCGACGTGTTAATCGTATCGAGGAATTGGTACTTTATCAAGGAACCAAAGGTCGCATCCTCAGCGCATCGATAGGAGATGAAATTCTGTTGCGTCGGAACGTTGTAACGGTTTAAACCGTCCACCGTAATCTTACCTCTCGAATGGCTTCGCGAACAGCATCCAGGCTCTTCCTATCTCTCGTCTCCTTTCCCGTTGCAATTTAAACGAGTCGAATTATTTTCCGATAACTGCACTCTGTTCTAGTTTTAGCGGGCAGCGTGCTTCCAATTATTTTATTCGTTACATCGCGATCGAGGAAATCCCGCGGACACCGCGTGATTCCTCTTCTCCCTTACGGATCAATAACGCATTTCGGGCTGATTTATAGATCAAACGGAAAGCGAATGGACTCCCATAACCACTCCGGATGGCTGGATCATGATCCAGTCGCCTACCACCAAAAAACCGCAGATAGTGGAGGAGACAACTGATAAACCTAATACCGAGTCCACGTTGCAATCAACCACTTCCGGTACGATGATAAAATTGCATTTTCAAAGCAATTATACTTTTACCATTTTTCCCCGTTTTTCAATAAAAATCCATTATTGTTTAGTTAAGCCAACAACGGAAACCAGTACGGAGCATGTGACAAAGAAACCGACTATTTTGACAACTTTATCGTCGATCGCCAGTGTAACGATAGACACCGAACTTCCGGTACCAATGGAAACGCTTAACATGTCGGATTACAAGCAAGGTGAGTTCGGGTAGCAAAGCTAATTAAAAATTAACCTCCGTGTTACATTATTCGATAGTTGACGAAAATATTTAACAATTCTTTGATTACTCGAGATTGGTCTTTATCTTTTTTCCTTTTCTTTCTTATTTTGCAATCGTAAGATCGTTTGCGTCGATAAAAGGTGAGATTTGCTGAAATTTCCCGTCAGTCAGAGTGTCGTAACGCAGAAGGAATCTGTGGTCGATAATATAGGAATCTGAATATTATCCAACCCGATTATAATTCACGATTATGAAAAAGAAAAAAGATAAAAGATCGGTAAACATGATTGATCGGTAAACGTGAACCAAAGCAAATTATGCGTAGTAGCATTGACGTATCGCTTCCATTCATGTTTCTGCTGGCTCGTGAATAACTCGTTGAGAAGTTCTCTCGCTCGTTGAACGCGAAGAAGAATCGTACGCATAATTAGAACCATGAGGAAAATAAAAAAGTGCTCGGAAGGGACGGTCACGATGATACCGGTTCATCCAGTCGGACGAATATAGAAGACCCGTTCTCCAACATGGCTGTGTCAATGAGATTCGCGAATTTGTTGAAGGGCTTGAATTCAACGATGTTTGTTCTTGCAGTGTGCGGAAGAAGATTGTTTCCGGAATCGCGGATCGTCGGTGGTAATCGCAGTTCGTTTGGAAAATGGCCTTGGCAGGTGAGTAGAATTGGAAAAGCATTTCCCAATTTCGATTATGCATGGACCGCGCAGTGGGAATCTTCCGATTATTATCTGTTATCGAATATCCAGCTATTTCTAGATTTATTGATACGTGTTATGTAATAGTGTATATACTCGTAACGAGAAGAATCGTATCATATATGTATAGGTATGTTTGGATTTCCGCGTCCCAAGGCGTGTTCGCATAATTGATACACAGAGTCGCGTACGTTCAAGCTGTTCGTTAAACGAAATCAATATTTTCTTTTCAGATCTCGTTACGACAATGGCGAACATCAACGTATCTACACAAATGCGGCGCAGCTTTGCTGAACGAGAATTGGGCCATAACGGCGGCACATTGCGTCGAAAAGTTGGTATCATGTTCGTCATCCTGGTTATTCTAATAGACATTACTTCGTTATCGTTTTCAATTTGCGATCGAATTATTTGGAAAAGTTACTGTTCGGTAATCGGTAAAGAACTATTTCGTATAATAGTGGAAACGTTCGATCGAAAGATCGTTTTGATCCGTTGCTTTAACGATTCCTTTAATTTATAGCGTGCCACCTAGCGACCTGTTGCTAAGGATTGGCGAACATGACCTTGCAAACGAGGACGAGCCTTATGGTTATCAAGAAAGAAGAGTTCAAATTGTTGCTAGTCATCCACAATTCGATCCTCGAACCTTCGAATACGATCTTGCATTGCTGAGATTCTACGAACCTCTGTTGCCATTTCAACCGAACGTTTTACCCATTTGCTTGCCGGATGACGATGAAAGTTACGTTGGTCGTACTGCTTTTGTCACTGGCTGGGGTCGACTTTACGACGGTACCGATTTAGTTTATAAATCCGTATACACTGCGATAATTAAGCAATAGATTGACCGAAATTTAATCGTCAGAGGGTCCATTGGCTGGGGTCGACTTTACGACGGTACCGATTTAGTTTATAAATCCGTATACACTGCGATAATTTAAGCAATAGATTGACCGAAATTTAATCGTCAGAGGGTCCGTTGCCGTCTACTCTTCAAGAAGTGGCTGTACCAGTGATCAATAACACGATGTGCGAAGCTATGTACAGAAATGCCGGATACATCGAACATATTCCGCACATTTTCATTTGTGCCGGTTGGAGAAACGGAGGATTCGATTCGTGCGAGGTATATTCATTTTTCGTCATATTTACTTCATTGGATATATATATACACATACACGTATGAAAGGAAGAAGGACGAGAAAAGGATAATTTCCGTGTATAAGCCGATATTTAAGAATAAAATTTATTATTTTAATCTATTATTCGATATGACATTGCAGGGTGACAGTGGAGGACCAATGGTGATTCAAAGAGCACGAGATAAACGATGGATTCTAGCTGGAGTGATCAGTTGGGGAATTGGCTGTGCAGTACCAAACCAACCAGGAGTTTATACTCGTATCTCCGAATTTCGTGAATGGATAAACCAAATTCTTCAGTTCTAAGCTGAAGTTCTGAGTAACGGATCACGTACTTTTGCAACTGATATTTGGTGAAAACCACGCGAAGGAACACGATTCGAATGTTAATTTCGAAGAACGTACGAGTTGAATATAGTGAAGTCTCCACGTGTACATAATATATTTTATGCGAATCGCATGCGACGACGGTTTTTCTTAAGGAAAACTTTGCTCATAGCGAATATTAAAGAAAAAGAGAAAGTACGAGGAAGAGTATGTACTTGTGCGAAATACTTTCAACTAAATTCCATGGAACACGGTATCAAGTAGAATTAACGTTTTGTACTTTGTGATATATTCATGTGACATAACGTTACGCCATTACTAATCACATGTAGTGGACTTTGGATCGATCGTATCAATGGCTTATCACGCGTACATCCATACAGGTGTTGCATTGTTCCAAACGCAACACCGTGCACAAACGTTCCCAGATAACTAGCACCATCTTTCGCGCGTATCACAACTCCAGTCCCTCAACAAGCACCGAGTCGATAGAATAGTGTTCTACGATGCCAACGGTGTCCTCGTTACAAATGTTAAATGATAATGATACGTGTTAGCGATAAAGTTAATTTAATACCTGGATTACGCCAATATTACCTGAACGAAGCGTACATACCGACTGACGATAATGAACTCTTTGCAATGTTTTCATACGATTGAGAACTTTTGCGAGATTAGATACAATTAAATGTCGTAACGTTTAAATCTTATGTCCTGGAGGAAAAAATGACAGCTACGACGAATTAGGAAAAGAAATACTTGTAATCAATAGCTTCCTGATCTTTTTCAAGTCCATTTCTTATGTCTTCCAGCACTTTAACTGTTAAAAACTGATAGCGTGCAACTTGATCTAGTATATTATACTTTCCGATGTTCTACTGTTAAACGAACGGCATCAAGTGATTCGAGCGATCAACTTATAGAAACGAGAAAGATAATTAGGATAAGTGTCGTGATACACGAGCATGTAGAGCGAAGAAAATTCAAATGATCGAGATATATAGAGATTGTAAGTGGTTCTGCATGTTTTTCACTTTGATATTAAACGAGGAGCTCGGCACTGTTTACGCTGATGTTCGTAACAGCTTATCAAAATGTAAGTCGTAAATTAATTATTTCACTCGATCAGTTTAGCATCGAACAAGAACAATGTGTTCAATATCTGTACTTTTTCGTCACAATCTAATCTATTATCATGGTAGGCGTTATAACGAAATAATGACATAGCTTGTATGCCGGAAAGTCAATAAGATTTGACCATGACAAGAAAGATGAACACGTTTCCTGTTGTGCGCATGAAATTGCCTAAAACAAAGAAATTATTTAATTTAATTTATATGAAAATTCATATATATATATATGTATACATATTATATATATACGTGTGCGTGTGTATATGTATATGTATATGTATATACATGCGTGTGAAGATATGCGATTCACACGCATGTATAGTCAACCGTATATGCGAACAAATAATTTATTAATGTATGTATAGTTCGGGTAAGGAAAATACAAAAGCCCGAGCTTGTAAATACTCGATCGATTAGTGGTGCGTGTTGTACTCTATTACACTTTGTTATTTTTTACTGTTTTACTATCCCTGTCACGTTTCTCCCTCGGTGTCTTTGTATTTACCAATCGAGTATTAAAAAGAACAAAAAAATCGATGTTCTTCATCGGGAAAAGGCTCAGTGATTACCTGTTCGTCGAATGCAATTCCTCGATCCACTTTGTTTGTCCTGTCAACCAATCTACGTGGGTGTTGATATTTGCTCAATCAGTCCCAAGCGAGAATTTAAACTTCACCCACACGCAACGCCCACTCTATCGGCTATAAACATATCGAGCATCCGTAAAATTCGAGAACAATGGGACGATTTATCCGTCGTGGCACGCCGCAACGAGACAGCGATTATCGAAAACTGGTAGCGGGAAACGTTTAATAGAAAAGGAAACCCGTACTAGCAATGGTGAAGCTACACGTGACAAGGAGATTTAACCCTTTGTATTCGAGAGGTGACTCTCAGTCACCATTTAATCAGATTTTAAAGATCGACGTTAATTAATCTATCAAATTTAAAATTACCAAACGATGTGTGCAATGTCGAAGAAAAATAATTCTACGTCTTAATTTGCATACGATTTCTCATTTACCATTTTAAAAATATCGTCGACTCTATGACAGAAAGTCTTCGAATTACTATTTTTCTGCAACGAAAAAGTCGTCGAGTGCAAAGGGTTAATCTCGAAACCGATTAGGGCATTAAAACGGTGGCTCGTCCCTTTGTAAAGACATTCAAGGAAGCAGGACGCATTTTCGTGAACTTTCTACCAAAGCGCGAATAGGAGGATTTTCGTGAACTTTCTACCAAAGCGTGAATACAGAGTGACAGAAATTCCCATGAAATTTGATGACTCCTTTCAACGGTGTATTATTATTCACGTAGAGTAACTTGCTCTCGTCCGTACCGATAATGAAAAACGATCGTATGGAGCAGACTTGGTCTACTTTCAATTTGTATTAAAGCAGATACGAGTTTGTTCCTCGTAGTGTTTCTGTTTAATTACAAGTTACTCGGTATGAGACATCTTCGGTGTAAATTAACCGGACGAGTTGGTTTCCCCGTCGTAACGGTTATAAATGTTCCATGTATCGTTATATTATTATATTTAACGCGGAAAGGTCAACGTATCAGCGATTAATTAAAACGTTGCTCGATTAACTACAGGATATCAACCAGTTTGCATTTCTTTCCATCGCATCGTATTCGCCACGAGCAATACGCACCTGATCACTGAAACGTAAAAACAAGTATTAAAGCAAACTGAAAACCATCGTTCGATGCTGAACTTTTGTTTCGATTACCTGTTCGCGTTTCGACTAGTTACCGAAGCGAAACCACGAGAAATCGATGGTAAATTAGGCGGTTCAGGTGAACGTATAATAAAACGAAAAGCATCGATTCGTGAAGTTTATAAACGCACCGAGTGTATTTTCGACTGGTTCACTATCAACGGGCATTGCTATCTTTTATCACACGTGTAAATCATTTTTGACCTCGTTTCGATTCCGAGTATTATAGCAATAATCGCTTGAAAATTACGAAGTTTTTCGCTTATTTGTTTCAGCTGTATAGTAATCGGACGGATCATTCGGTTTTTATTATTCGATTGCTTGAAAATTACGAAGTTTTTCGCTTATTTGTTTCAGCTGTATAGTAATCGGACGGATCATTCAGTTTTTACGGTTATCGATAGTTCGGATGATCAAATTGCTCTTGGTTCTTATAAATAACGAAAGAAAAAAAAGGGGGAGAGAAAAGGAACGGAAGATGTATGATGATCGTTTCCTTGCCTTAAATATAGCCTGGCCTAGAAAGAATCGCGGTTTTTAGACTTGGTTGAATGGGGCAAACAGATCGTCGCGCCCAATTGTGCCGTGATGTCGTTGAGAATGTAACTCTCTCTCCTTTCACGCCATTTCATTGGTATGTGAATTTTAACTTTGGACTTCGGCGTGTAACACCGAGGCGACTACTTTCCTAAATCGTCTTCCGGTAATCTTTTACTTCTTCCTATTACTATTACGTCTAACTTAAACTCCGCGTTGCTCGCGATAAACCAGACGATTCCGTGAACGTTTGCGTCGGTGAGGCAAGCGACGACACTCGGTACGAGTCAAAGCACCTAGAAAAGTAAGTGTACTTAAAACGTTTGCATCGCATCCGTGACTTTAGAGCACTCGTTGCGAGTAAAAAGAGGAACGGGAAAGAAACTGTCGAGACCTATATCCGCGGGATGTTCCTTTCATAAACGTTCCCTGGCAGTTGGCGGAGCAATGAAATTTCAATTTCAACGACGTTTCGTTGTTTCGAAAGAGGCACGGTAAGAAACCAGCGAAAATCACGCGTAAAATGGTCTTTTTATTTTATTATTTACCCCGAGCGTATGGCTAGCTCTTATTGTTACTCCACATACCGCGTACCGTTGCCCGGTGCAAAGTAATTTATTTTAATTTCATGGAAAAGTGAGTAATTTAAATGTCTGGCCCCTCCTTGTATCGTATAACCTCTAATTGGAACACTAAGAGAAGAATGTAACTGTTACAAACCGCACGAAATACCGGTAGTGTCTCGAAAAACAATAATCGTTCATAATTCCTCGGTGCAGTTTATGTATCCTGCCGTGGTCCAAGTGGATCGTAAAATTACGTGTTTACGTCGGTTTCTTGCATACCACGGGACACGAACCGAAAATATAATCTTAAGGGATTTCAGAGCCACGTTCGATACGAAGCAATCGAAAATGTCACAGGCGTGACGGCTCGTGGATGGATGTTACTGGACCGGGTTAAGTGGCTTTGGAGAAAGCCAGCTACCTCCGCCTTTTCCTTATGAAGTCACGAAACCGTGCGGGTAGCAGGTAGGAAGCCATTGACGGCCTTCACCCGTCGATCGTGTCACAAAACATGCAAATTTCTGCCTAGGCGATACACCCATCGTGTAAACGTCGAGGCTGCAGCACCACGCTCCGCTGGATTCGACGATTTCATCGGAAACATTCGATCGTAAGATTATCGAATTCTCTTTTTCATACCGAGTCTCGTTTGACAAAATGAAAGCAGCAGGTTGCGCGTCTCGTGATATTGCGAATCAGCATGCAAACAGAGTGCGGAAAAGTGGTACGCTGCAAGGATCTTGTCCGGGCTAGAGAACCAGCGAGACGACGCCGAGGACGAGGTGCGTCGGCGCCTAGCACGTTGCTGCGCCCTGATCGATCAACAGATTTTGTTCGAATCGCCATCACACACGGGCAGGGTCATGGTCTGACCTTAGTAGTCTGGAATGACGTCACCTGAGCCTTGTCGACGCCATGGTACTCCAACTATTGTACCTACGCTACACTGAGATTTTACTTACGTAATTAAGAGTCAAGGACACTTGGTTATTAAAATAACCATAATACGTTTCTCTCGTGAGTTTACAGGAAAGTTCACAATATTTTCGAGACTCTGTATAAGGAAAAGAAAAAAAAAAAGAAAAAATGGAAAGACGTCAGACTTTCTAATCGTGGGTTGATATCGAAGAGATATTCGAGGAGAAAAAGAAAAATGAAATTTGCGATGAAATTTTTCGTGGAAAAATTCAGAATGGCTGCAAAGGATGGCGAGGAAGAAAGGTTATCTCGCATATTCGTAAGCCTCGAGAATTCGTATGAGCAACGGTAAAGAAAAATGATGTGCGGAACGTGAAAAGACCCAGCTAAATTCTGACCTAGTTTTGTCAAGCGTGTCCTGGGTCATGACCATCGATTGTTTCTCTTCGTTCCTTCTCGCAGGTGCCTTCCCATGGTTATGGGGTCATGACCTAAATGCTTTGGGGATCTTTACGTGGACTTGGATACTGTAGCTACCAATGAGAATTTATGGCGATATAGTGCGTTATTTAAAGACGACTCGGTGTCCTTTACGTATGTCGGTACGAGCATGACAACTGTTTCGCAACCCTGTACACGTGAGGATTCGCGTTATCATCGAACCCCCGATACGCATGATGTTCCATTTGGATAGATGTCTATTTATAAGATACGTAGGCGATTCAAACTTCTTTGATGCTCATTTTTACGTAACAATCGCTTCTCTCTCATTTCTTTCACTGCCGCCTCGATTTCCTGAGGTAATAAAAGCATTCCATTCGGCGATCG